CTGCGGTAAAATAATGAATAATAAGACTGTGGTCAAGTAAATAAATAAATTCATTTAAAAAGTGTGACTGCTGAGAGCAACAGATTCTGGAGCTAGGGACACCGGCCCTCGCGGCCAAAAAACGGACCGGCCCACCAGGAATTCTCCCGGTCCTCCCGATTAGCCAATCCGGGCCTGACATAAAAGTTAAAACATCTGTCATACCATTATTTATTAATATGTGGCTCTTTTTGGATTCTCAGAAGCTATACAAATTTAAATAGTGAAACAGGGAATACCTTGGGACATTTTGTTTACATCCCAACAAAATTATCTATATTATGAACCAAGCTTTGGAATCCACATAGAGGGCATATTGAACTATTGCAGTTTATTCCCACTCTGTGGACAAAATTGATGTAGAACAGACTAAATAGGTTATTGAAGGAACACTTATTAAACATCACATAATTTTAGCCTCTAAAAAACTATTTGGCCCAAAACCAAAGTTTCTGATTTCATTCATTCATTTTATTTTCGGCTTAGTCCCTTTATTAATCAGGGGTTGCCACCGTGGAATAGACCGCCAACTTATCCAGCATATGTTTTTATGCAGCGGATGCCCTTCCAGCTACAACCCATCACTGGGAAACATTCATAGACACTCACTCATTCACACACACTACGGACAATCTAGCTTATCCAATTAACCTATAGTGCATGTATTTGCACTGTGGGGGAAACCCACGCGAACACAGGGAGAACATGCAAACTCAACACAGAAATGCCAACTGACCCATCGGAGGCTCGAACCAGCGATCTTCTTGCTGTGAGGCGACATCGCTACCCACCGTGCCGCCCAGTTTCTGATTTCTGTAACCAAAATTTCAGTGCTTCCCAATTTAAGATCATCAGAAGAGAAGTACAATGAGGACAAACATTTGACTGGTCGTGTATATGGATAAATCTTGTCTCACAATTTGTGTCAAATCTTTAACAATTCTTCCTTTTTCTCCACAGCAATCTAAGTATAAGGTTATAAATAAAGATCAATGGTGCAATGTTCTAGAGTTCAGTAGGACTATCAACCTTGATCTCAGTAACTATGATGAGGACGGGGCCTGTAAGTACACTTTACCCTAACTCTATACTTCTTTTGTATACCGTTCTTTTCTACAGCATGTTCGGAAATGCCACAGATTAGCTTCCTAACTGGGGTTTCTCTTTGCACAGGGCCAGTGCTTTTGGATGAGTTTGTCGAGTGGTATAAAGATCGAGAGATGTCGTAGCGACAGCTTCTCCATGCCTACCACCATCACCAACTAGAAACTAATCGCCAACAATCACCATGACAATGACGACAGAAACGGCTTTGAAACAAACATCTAGAAAACAAAGTACAAATCAAAACTGAAGTGTTTGGGACGGACTGATGGTGGCCCCTGGCGCTGAGGGCTTGAGTGTGTGAGTGTTTGCCTAGAATGTAATTATCGATGCACATGTTTGTATGTCGCCCTTTTAGCCGGGGCGGGTCACTGGTGGTCGACTGTTGGAAAAACAGCACCTCACCGACTCCACCTAACGCCCCCCCTCCCCTTCCCCATCCATAGCCCACAATGCATTGTGGGTAAGCACATGGCCAGCCTCGGTGCCACCTTCCCACCCCACTGTGATGTTTCATATTGCTGTGAATGTTTCAATAGGCTCTTAAAAGGAGGGCGACTTCAGATCCTCCACAAGGCAGGGTAGGTATAAACCCCCCATACTGTCTGAAGACATTTAGGTCATTTAGGTTCAGGAAGGACAGAGAAAGACAGAACGAACACCTGCTTGGCTTTTTACTGAAGGTCAGTGACTTTTTACGAAAGTGTTGGTTCAAAATGGAAATAGCGTACAGTGTCACTCTGCTGATGTGGTCCAAACACTGTTTACTGTGGTTTTAATGGTGGACGGCGATGACAGTTACCATGCTTACATAGCAACCTTCGCCATAAGTTTTACTTTTATTCATCTCAATGCACTTGGTTGCCATTTAATATAGCGCACCACATACACATACAAGAGTGTCATAGACATTCTGCTGTAAGCACTTCCTGTGGTGCTGTATCAGTATCCCTTTCACCAATTTCTTGTTTATGAGATCAACAAGACAAGATTTCCTCTTCACAACAAGAAGAACGGAGGCTGTACTTATCAAGAGCATAAAGGTTAGTATCCTTTTCCTGACCATTGTCTTGTTGAGGAGTGTGAGCAGGTTTAAGCGACTGCATTGATTATATCATTTGATTCCTTAGAAATGTAACTATACTGTGCATGTCATAGTTAAAATGACAGTACGTGGATCTAAAGGACAGGAAGAGGGAAAGCTGTTAAAGTGCACTTTTGATTTCTGTGATGGATTGCCACAAAAATACAAAACGAAGAAGGTAACCCTAAACTCTGACACTCTTTTGGCCACATCCTCTTCCACAGATCTTGTGGTCAAACGGGATCACCTTAACCCATAGTGACCAATGCCTAGCAACTATTTAACATTCTAGTTATGTTTGTAAAACTGTTGAGTTTTGTCTATGGCTGTGGCGTGAAGCTAACTTGTCATCTGAACAAGAAAAAAAAGCATGCATGCATTCTGCGATTAGAGCCGTCTTCGTGAGTGAATGAATGAGGGGTTTCCTTTTTGTACATTTATTTTTATGCTCTCGTTTCTTTATTATTATTTTTTTGTAAAGGTATTTGTAGAAGTGGTCATTTTTTGTGCTTAATTTGGGTATCCGCGGTCATGCAGTCTTAACGCTTTATGAAAAAAATGATTGTGTGATGGTATTTAGAGCTTAAACACACTTGTAACCTCATCTGTTGAGATGTTCCTCTCTGCATTGCCTCCTCCACCATTTCCACAAAGTGCTAAACCACCATGTTCACGAGCGACTGAAGCATTTCTGTATGTCTGCAATTTCATAACTTTTATCGTAAAAGGAATTACAATGCAGATACAAATTTATTAACATTCATTTTGGGAAACAAAAGTTTAAAAAACGTTTGGTTACAAGACATTTTGGTATATAAGTGTTTTTTTTTCTTCCCACCTGAAAGATTAAAGTTATTCATCATAAATTATCAATCAATTATTCACTCAGCATCCATGAAGTCAACATTGTATATATGCTGTGCAAGCTGTGTAGAATTCATTTGTAAATGTCTACAAACACTTGTCATTACCCCATTCACCTGCACCTATTTGTGCCTGAGGGAAGTAGTGGTTTAAAACGAATGATCTGAACAGATAGATGCGTTCCCGTCTCATTACGACTGTTGCTTTTGTTGGGGGAGTATGTAATGCAGAGCGTTGAGCATTCTCATCTGACTGTATATATGTATGGATGTGTGTGTGTATGTGTGTGTGTGTGTGTATATATGTGTTTGTTTTCACTGTAACCTCTCTACATTAAATATATATAAAGGGGTTTATTAACGAAATGTGGAGTCATTTTAATTTCTTCTCCATTCCATGTTATGAAGTAGGGAACACTTTCATTAACTGTTTACAAGAAAGTTAATTACCTCTATAAACAGCTACAGAGAAAAAAAAGTTTCTTTTGATTTATTAGAAATGAGTTTGAGTAAAATGTTAATATTTATTTAAATATATAATATATAACGGTCTAATAACATTTAATAAAAAACTAACCACTTTTTGCCTTCAGAGCTGCCTTAATCCTTCATGGCCTAGATTCAACAAGGTACTGGAAATATTTCTCAAGAGATTTTGGTCCCTATTGACATGATAGCATCACACAATTTTTGCAGATTTGTCGGCTGCACATCCATGATGCAAATCTCCTGTTCCACCACATCCCAAAGGCACTCTATTGGATTGAGTTCTGGTGACTGTGGAGGTCATTTGAGTACAATGAACACATTGTCATGTTTAAGAAACCAATCAGAGATGATTCACGCCTTGTGACAGCGCATTATGTTGCTGGAAGTAGCCATCAGAAATGAGTACACTGTGGTCATAAGGGAATGGACATGGTCAGCAACAATACTCAGGAAGGCTGTGGCATTGCCACAATACTCAATTGGTACTAATAAGCCCAAAGTGTGCCAAGAAAATATCCCCACACCATTACAGCACCACCACCTGCCTGAACTCTTGAGACAATGCAGGATGGATTCATGCTTTCATGGTGTAAACGCCAAATTCTGACCCTACCATCCAAATGTTGCAGCAGAAATCGAAACTAATAAAACTAGGCAACGTTTTTTCAATCTTCTATTGTCCAATTTTGGTGATCCTGAGGGAATTATAGCCTTAGATTTCTGGTCTTAGCTGACAGGAGTGGCACCTGGTTTGCTCTTTAGCTGCTGTAGCCCATCCACCTCACATGTTCAGAGAAGCTCTTCTGCATACCTCGGTTGTAATGAGTAATTATTTGAATTACTGTTGCCTTACTATCAGCTGGAACCAGTCTGGCAATTCTCCTCTGACCGCTGTCATCAACAATGCATTTGCACCCACAGAACTGCCACCCACTGGATATTATCTCTTTTTTGAACTATTCTCTGTAAACCCTAGAGATGGTTGTGCCTAATAATCCCAGTAGATCAGCAGTTTCTGAAATACTCAGACCAGCCCGTCTGGTACCAACAACCATCTTCCTCATTCTGATACTACGTTTGAACTGCAGCAGGTTGTCTTGACCATGTCTACATGCCTAAATGCATTGAGTTGGCTGATAAGAAATGTGCGTTAACGAGCAGTTGGACAGGTGTACCTAAAGTGGCCAATGAGTGTATATATACATTGAGAATAACGATCGTTTTCTCAATTGTTGTGATTTGAAAATCAGAAATTCTTAACTCTTATGAATATAAAATATTGGTATTGCTGTTATATAAGCATGTCTGGAAACAATTGTATAAAGTTATACAAAAAGTGCTGTAAATGGCAAAGTAATTTTGCAGGATAAAAGAAAAACGTTTTACTCGTACATGTGGATAAAAAAATCAGAGAAACGGAACAATTTTTAAATAAAAATTTATTTTGTTGTCATTCAGTACAATTAATATCCCGTGGACTTTTATTACAGCTACATTGCATTACTGATAAAATCAACAGTGTTTGTATACAAAACACCCTTATGTAGGCTTCATCAATATATTTGCATGCAACAGAAACATAACTTATATTAAGGAATACTGAAAGGTTTAGGTTAATATGTTCATAGTTATATTACATATTTACAATAGTCAGAAAAAAGAAAGGCCCTTACAAAAAGCTGTGACTTTTAAATCATTTGCGGAGATTTGATATTGTGTGCCAAGTCAAAAATGAACTCTTTATCTAAATTAAAAATTCCTTATTCTTTGTTGTTGAATTTGCTGGTGACTTAGAGTCAAGTGTTGATGTACTCTTTGTTTTAAGTCCTCGCAAAACTGGGGCTTCCACTCCTTCTGTGCTTCTGGAATTGTTTCTTGTAGAGCTGCTGCTGTAGGTGCGTTCTGTTTGAAATGGTGCTCCTCCATAATCTGCCAGGGTTCTGTCTTGCTTCTCGCCTTCTTGTTGCATGGAGGATAGCGATGCGATGTTGAACTCATCCATTTCTCTTCTCCTTTGCTGCAGCAATCTCCTGCGTTCTTGCCTTTGACGCACTTCAGTATTTTCTCTCAGATACTCTCTGGCATCCAGGTCTAGGGGAGGTGGAGATGTTATTGGAACTGCCGGTGGTTCATCCACAACTTGATGTTTACTCAACAAGGAACTTGACATACTTGATTCTGAATTTAGGCCAGTCTGGTCAGACATCCATGATTCTAATTCAGTCTTTATAATTACTGCAGACCCTTTTTTCTTTGAGATGGGGCGTGATGGCTCAGATGACAAATTGGATGATGGGAGAAATGATGACACAGGTGAAGAATAAGATTGTTTAAACTCAATGTACCTTTTTACTTTTGGAATATTGGCAATAAATTCATCTGTTTCTCTAATGTGGTCTGTAGCAGATGGTTTGACATATTTAGTTGAAGTTGTCAATATTTTTGGTTCCTCTGTGATCTCAGATGTTCCCAGTCTTTCAGCTAAGTCAGCAGTTGATGGCAGAGCAGAATTATGACTTTCATCAGGTGTGAACTCAATGTATCTCTTAACTTTTGGTATACTGTCAGAATCGTCAGATGTGCTTTGTGATGTGCGGGATACCGTTGCTTCTGTTGCTGTTACCTTTATTGGTTTAACAACACTTGGAAGTTGTGTCTGGGGTGATGAAAAAGGTTTACATTGTGTGAACTCAATATATCTTTTGACTTTTGGGATTGTGACACTTGTTTCTTTAATGACATCATGATCATTAGTAGATGATTTTCTATCATCATCAGACGAAGTGCATGGTATACTTGTTTCTTTTTTCACGACAGATGCACTTACTCTTTTAGCTGTTATCTGTACCGGAATTTGACTTTCAGGATGTGTGAACTGAATGTATCGCTTAACCCTTGGTATTTTATCAAGGGGTGCCTCTGAATGTTGACCAAAATAGTCTTCTCTACTTTCTGTTGTGACTTCATCCTCAGATGAAGTTCTTGATCTGCTCGTTTCCAAAATGACCTTAGATGTCGCAACTTTATCTTCTGATAAAGTAGTTGACTGAACAGGTAACTGATGTTTAAATTCAATGTATCTTTTAACTTTTGGAAGTTTGTCAAGATGTGCTTCTGTTTCCTCGAAGACATTGTCTTCCTTAGGAGATGGATCAACTAAAGTACTAGGTCCTCTTGATTGTAAGTCTGTCACCTGTGTGGGCTTTACATTGCTTGAAATAGGTAATGGTGCAAGACCCTGGGGAGGTTCAGATTGTGTGAACTTAATATACCTCTTCACTTTAGGGATTTTGTCAAAATAGTCACCTCTTACATTATCATCATGAGTAGATGGTTTAACATCCTCTTCAGATGAAGTGCTTGATCTTCTTTCTTGAACAACTCCAGATATTTGAAGTCTTTCAGATGAGTGATTAGTTGCTGATTGAACAAGTTTACTTTCAGAATTTACAAACTGAATATATCTCTTAACCTTCGGTATTTTTTCAAAAGACAACCCTGTTTGTTCACCAGCTTTTTCTTCCTTAGCAATAAATGTGGCATCTTCCTCAGATGAAGTGCTTGATTTCCTTGTATCTTGAACTACCCCCAAATTTCCAACTTTTTCAGCTGAGATGGTTATTGTTGGCTGAGGAAGGGATTGAATTTCAGGATGTGTGAATTGAATGTATCTCTTAACTCTTGGTACTCCATCAAGAGATACTCCTGTTTGCCCAAAATTGTCCTGCACATCATCCTCAGATGTGCTTTCTCTAGTGAGTGGGTTTTTAAATTCTGTTTCTGTCACCTTTATAGATTTTACAATGTTAGGAGGAACTGGTGACCGATCAGAGGGAAATGATTCAGATTGTCTAAACTTTATGTATCTCTTCACTTTTGGTATTTTGACCAGATATTCATCTGTGTCTTTAATGATATCTTTATTAGGAGATATAGTAACATTTTCCTCAGACAAAGGGCTGCTATCTTTTGGTTTTTTAGCTGTTAGAGATGCATGGATTCTTTCATCTGAGAAAGCAGTTGATGTTTCGGGATGTGTGAATGCAATATATCTTTTAACTCTTGGTACACCATCAAGAGATACGCCTATTTGCCCAGAGACATTGTCTTCCTGAACAACATCCTTAGTTGAAGAATTCTCTTTAATGACTGGCTGTTTGAGTTCAGTTTCCGTTACTGATATGGATTTTACTGGGCTGTCTTGTTTTGGAGCAGAGGAATGTGGTTCAGAAGGTGTGAACTTGATGTACCTCTTTACTTTGGGGATTTGGATTAGGTATTCATCTGTTTCTTTAATATCTTCAGTAGGTGGTTTAACATCTTCCTCAGATGAAGTGCTCCATCTCCTGGTTTCTTTATCTACCGCAGGTATGCTGACACTTTCAGATAAAAGACTGGTTGATGTCTGAGATGGATATTGATATTCAGGATGTGTGAATTGAATGTATCTCTTAACGCTTGGTACTTTATCAAGAGACACTCCTATTTGCTCTTGATCATGATTTTCGGATGAAGTGCTCTCTCTATTGGCTGGTGGTTTAAATTCTTTTTCTGTTTCTTTTACTGTGATTGCAGGAGGAATTGGCGACAGAGGAGATGAGTATGGTTCAGCTTCTGTGAATTTGATATACCTTTTTACTTTGGGAATTTGGAAATGGTATTCTTCTGTTTCTCCAAAATTTTCTTTAGTGGCTGGTTTAACATCTTCCTCAGATGAAGTACTCCATCTTCTTGTCTCTTTTTCTACCACAGATGTATTGACTCTTTCAGATGAAACCTGAGTAAGGGGTTGACTCTCAGGATATGTAAATTGAATATATCTCTTAACTCTTGGTACACTATTAAGGGATGTAACTGTTTCTTCCAAGACATGGCCTTCATTCTTAGTTAGCTTGATATCCTCCTCAGAAGATGTACTTGATCTCCTTGTTTCTGATTTGATTATCATTTCAGGTGTGACATGCAGTGTATCAGAAGTGGTGGGGTGTGGTTCAGACTGTTTGAAGTGAATGTATCGTTTCACTTTTGGAATATTTTCCAAAAAAGATACCTCTGCTTGCGTTAAGTTTTCCTGGTCTTTAGGGAATCTCTCAATTGTGGATTCAGTTTTTATTTCCATCTCAGTTGTGACTTTCGTAGAGGAAGATGAAACCAATGGGGGAGTTGAAGAATCTTTGAACTCTGTAAATTGAACATATCGCTTAACCTTTGGTACTGCATTAAGATCTATTTGCCCCCAGTTTCCTGTAGCATCAGATTTGTCATCCGACTTGACAGATGTGCTGGAACTTGTTTCCACTTCTACTGCAGGTCTCTTGATTGAAATGGGTGAAGATGTTTGAGTTGGAGAGTAAGGTTTTGGCTGATTGAATTGGATGTATCTCTTAACATGTGGCACGCTATCAAAAGATACACCTATTTGACTGAAGAAGCTGTCTTCATTAGGTTTGATATCATTATCATCAGATGAAGTACTGGACCTCCTTGATTCAGGCTGTACCACCAGTTCAGGAGAACCTTTTAAAGGAAGTGTTGTAGAATAAGGTTCAACATGTGAAAACTGTATGTATCTTTTTACTTTTGGAAGTCTGTCAAAAGATGCATCTACTTGTCCACCAAATGTTTCATCTTCAGTGGTTGGTTTGAAATCATCCTCCGATGAGAAACTGGACGTCCTTGATTCAGTTGTCACTTTAAAATCAGGTGTGATTGTGCTAGTGGTTGGTGGAGGAGATGGTAACTGGGCTTGTGGATATGAGTGTGAAAACTGAATGTATCTCTTCACTTTTGGTAAATGATCAAAAGATAAACTTTTCCCAAATATAACATCGTCATCAGTGGTTTGTTTTTTAGTTAACTTGGACTGCTTATTAACCGAGACACCTCCAGTTCTTCCAGCATCCCAATCAGCTGGTGACATCATCACATCTGTTTCATTTTCATTTCTGTTGAAAAGTCGAGCACCTAATGCTTTTAGTCTCATTAGGCCTTTAGAACGTTTCTTTTCAAATACATCTGTGCTGCTGGAAGAGTTGTCAAAATCAATGTTAAGGACATTGTCTTTACTTTTACCAGGTTTGATGGATCCTCCGTTCAACCCAGGTGCTGTTGTAATTTCTAATTTTCTTGGGTACTCTATGAACTGATCTTCATCTTCACTGGAAAATGATATATCTGTATCATATCCTCTATTCAACCTGTTTATACTTGACCTATAGGATGGATGAACATGGTACAGTGGAAGGTTCTCATGACTTCCATAGAATGACTGATCATTTCGTTTTTTGCTTTTTGACTTTTTCCCTGATAGACCTTTTCTTGTCGAGGTAGGTGATGATGGCAGAGATGTGGAATGACTTTCATGCTGCTTAAAAAACATGTGTTCCTTCACGTTTTGACTGCTGCTGGGCTGCAGATTTTGTATTGTTGCCTCAGTTGTGGTCTCAGATTTAGATAAAGGGAGAGTTGGTGAAGAAGTGTCAAACTGTTTAAAGGAAATGTATCTTTTAACCTTTGAAACGTCAGAAGGTATAGATGTTGTCAAGAAAGATTTGTCATCCTTAGTTGTCAGCTGTGCATCATCGTCTGAGGACAAGCTGTATCTTTTTGTTTCCAGCAGAGCATCTTTTTTGGTTAAGGAAGGTGATGGCAGAGTTTGGGTATGAGGATCAGAAGGATTAAAGCCAATGTATCTCTTCACTTTTTGAATATTATCAGGAGACACTTGTCTTTGCATTAAGGAACTGTTGTCTTCAAAAGATGCACCGGTGTGAGCTTCAGATATTAAGTGCTCCTTTGATAAGATATTGTTCTTTTGTGAGGATGGAGAAAGTGGTGGAGATCCAGAATGAGATTTGGACGACTTAAATTCAACATATCTCTTATCTTTTGGCACAGTATCAATACCTATGTCTGCAAATTGTCCAGATTGGTGTGGTATGTTCATCAAGGAGCTCATCGAGGAGTCGTCAGTAAGCATGCCCTCGTCAACACTGTTTCCATGAGTAAAAGTCAAATGTATATCTGAAGGCTCCAAAATTATAGTCTCCTGTCTTATAAGAATGCCAGCACTAGGCATTGTTTCCCTGAAAGTGGGATCTTCAAGAGTGCCAAATCTGTTTAAATTGACTACATTTGCACCATTCCCTGTGTCCGATTCATCCACGATTTCTTCCAACTCTGGGTTTACAGTATAATTATTTGGTCCACCAACACTTTCACCACTTTGACTTGAATTACAGGAGCTTCCATTGTCAGAGAACTCAAATTGCTTTCCACCATCAACAAGAACTTCTTTACCAAATGGTTTTTCAAAATCATCATCTGAATCAATATTTATTTTATTTGAAGGTGATGCTACTTTGATTTGCCTCCATTTGTCATCGTCCTTCAGGGGGTGTCCTAGAGCAGGGCTGGAGAGATCATGGATACTTGATCTTTCTGAGTCTTCATTGAAAGAAAAGCTCTCTCCACTGTCATTCCACATTTCTGGGTCCAACTCATCAACATTTTGTTCTTTCAATCTGACTGGCCATTCTGAAAATGGCTCTTTTATAAATCCTGGAATTTCACTTTTAGCGACAGGAGAAGGGTCAACACTTTGTTCAGTTGAATGCTTTATTTCACTTGATAAGGTAACTTCCTGACTTGAGTGAGATGATGCTGAAGAACTGTCCCTTCTCTTTATCCTTGTAATTTCTGTTTCATCTGGGATTGGCTCAAATTCCATGTCTTCCATTGAGCTGGGTGGCAGTTTCTGACCATTTACTACTAAAGCATTTACTTCGCCTTCCTGTAGTGAGCTGCTGCCACTACTGTCTGCTCTTCCTCTGTGTCTCTCCATTTCAAGGGTCTGCTGTTTCTCATCAGTCACTGAGGATCTATTGTTTTCAACATCCTCATATAGGCCACCAGATTCTGTGTTGCTCTCAGAGGAGCCATCCGCTTGGTCCTCATCTACAGTGACATAGTAGGGCATTTGATCTTGCACTTCTGTAACTTCACCGAATGTAACTCTTGAACCCACTCTCACTTCTCGATCATGGTCTTCTACGTCACAGTAACCCTCATTCACATATGGCTGGGGTTCAGTGGACGAGGTTGGAGAGGATGTAGATTGTCTTTTGGATCGTATTCTTCTCCATAACTTGTCTAACAGTGGCCTCAAAACTACACCAAGAATAAATGCTAAAATGAATGTAATTATGACCGACAGGCAGACGGCAAGAATAAATTCTGACTCTGTTCTTGACCCTACCCTTACAGCAGGATTTTTTGGCAAGATTACATTTCCTTTCTCATCTAAGATAACTCCTGCTTCACGACGTAGTCTTGAGCCACCACCTTTTTTGTAGACATGTAGGTCAAACACTGAAATGTGCTCCCCTTGAACACCTGTAATGCATATATAAAGTCCTGCATGCTGCTCTGTGATATCCTTAATTAAAAGTTCTGGTTGATTATCTTTTTCTTGGCCTTGTGGAGTCCACCAGCGAACCTGCATGATACCTAGAAAAGAAATCGCAGGAAATTCATAACCAAATATTATGAATTAATATATATTGTTAAAATAATATCTCTTGCTTCAGTAGCTACAACAGGTTTTATCATTTTAAAACAAAGCAATCAAAAGCTGCACCTTGGCTGTGATTCCTACAAGGAATAGATATCTGCATCCCCTCTTTCACAATCATATTATGATAGTGGCCAGATGTCCTGTGTTCATATGTTGGACAAGTGAGTTCAGAGTCATTTAGGTAAAGCAGATCTTTTCCAGCATGGTGTGGTGGAGAGGCACACACCACTTTCCAGGAAGCATGACCCATTTCAGTATCAAAGCTCATCCATTTTCTTAAGGTCTGCAAATTGCAGTCACACTTCCATCTGTTGAAGGAGACATCAACTAAAGCATCCAGGTTCCGCAGGGACTGGTAGGCAGGGACAGGAACGGTGACCAGCAAGTTATAGCTCAGATCAAGGACCTGGAAAGAAATAGAAAGGCAATGAATTTTTTTGTGTCCCAAGTTTTAATGCACGCTAGGCTAGTAAGTTGATTTACATCAAGATGGTGCAATTCTGATCCAGGTGCAACAACATCCTGCAGAATGTGGTTCCAAGCAGCTCTAACACATTTACCTACTTGTTTTGGTGATCTGAAGACTATGTTAACCTTCATTTGTATTTAATTAGTTGTTTGTTTTGAACTGTATGGGGATGTTTACACCTGGTCACGTAAAAAAAAACTGATGAAGGATGGCATGATGGCAGATTTTTAATAATACTAACATAGTTATCATTCTTGATGTGAACAGCCATCTAACGATATTTAGTCAGATTTATGTATTATTACTTTAAATAATTTTGCTTCCCAAGTAAAATACTGAGACAAAAGACAAAAATATTGACCAGGGGTCCCAACTTCAAATTGGCAGGTACCATATCAGTAACTGACAGATCATATGGACTGTTTTAACATTCAGGCACAAGAAGAGAGGACACCTGATGTAATTGATGCAATCAGACATTCCTCCACAGAGGATTTGCAGTCAAAGCTCCTTTTTGTTTCTTGTACATATGAAGGGGTGGTTTAAATTGCTATGAAAATACTACAGTTCAATAATAGGCATAATAATCATAATTATTATTTTGTCCCATTCAATTGTTGCTTAACCAAAAGCTTAACAGATAGCGTAAGGCAGCAAAAAGCAGTTTTGGTAACTTTAGTGACTTTACTAGCAATTTCTTTCTTTTTTGGTAAAACTAACACAAAGAAGGGGAAAAGTATGTACATATTTACAATCACTTCATCATGTTCAACCCAGCCAGCAGTAAAACTTTAAGAATTTACTTTTTTATATAAATCTTAACATGCATATGAGGACAATCTATTAAAGACACTTTTAATAGAATATTTGCTAAATTATTATATTTACACCACCAGTATAATTTGTAAGCCATAAAGAAGTCTTTGTAGACTTGTAGAGCACTTATGAACACATTTTTACGTTTAAATCAGCACCAGAAATAGTCTGCATGTGTTACTCTCGACCGCACGCTGAAAGAAACCCGAATATATATTACAATACTTCATGTGCATAAACTACGATGGAGACACTTTTACCAAACAAATTCCAGTTTGAGCATTAAAAAAGATCATGTGATTTTGTTATAAGAGATCATGTGATGTGTGTGAATGGATAAACCAGCAGGCTGAGCACATTGTAAAACATCTAAAAAGTAGTTTTGATCATTCTAAAAGACCCTAACCATTTCAGTATTAGTGGTATTATATTATTAATGACCTTATATTATTATATTATATTATTAATGATGTGTCTGTGCTTCACGTCTGATCGCTCAAACCATTTCCGGAGGTTGTCTGCGACACATTCCAGATGAAATTAGATGGGTCTAAATGCATCTGGTGGTTGAAACCACATTTATTTTACTCCTCCAACAATTAAAAAAAAAACATGAGAACATGTGCTATGGGGTAAACAATCATCAGATATAACAAATGAAATAAGCAATTACTAAATTAATATCAAATAGCAGCATTAACAACAGAGATGCAGCATGCATGTTTAGCCTGTCACTGTGAAAAGAGATGAAAAATAATAGAAACATTTGTGTTTCATTCATTTACAAAAGCATAGTGTTTTGTTTTTGGGAGAGCAGGTTTTACATAAATTAATGTAAATCCTTTACAGTTTTGAATAAAGGTTTGCTCATATCTGTAAGACCAATATAGATGTCGCATTCAGCCTGTAATGACTGGAGCCTACCTTCTGCATTTACTGAAACACCAGTGAAGTACAAAGCCGCATGCAGGGAGTAAGTCTTGAGAGAGTATAAAATAATTTATATGCCAAATAAAATATATTGCTTGCATTTCTTTAAAAATTAAAATGGTATCTGATGCTTTAGTTGATCTAATTAGATTTGCATATAGTGCAGGATTTGAAGACCGGAATCATATCCGTTTAGCGGAGGCGCATGTATGTGGCCAAATGTAAATGGAACTGTTTTTAGAAATCAAATAGCTATCTGTAAACGACCGGTCCTGCTGCACCCAATCTGAGCTGGGATCGAACTAGCAATTCTTTGTATGGGAGTCAGTTGCTCTAACAAGGAGGCTAAATACATTGGCCACTAGCGTCTGTCGCTAGAGCATCTTTTGAGGTCAGAGGAGTGAGGTTTATCTGCATAGCACTTTGCTAGCTGGCCATCGTTACATATCTGATGAGAGAAAATGGATGACTAGGAAATGCAAGTAAACAGGCCCTATAGGACAGTGAACCTCCAGGAAGAAAGTCTGATTTACCCTGATGTGTGCAGTTACCAAAGTCAAGTAACTACAGGTTACTGGAGAAAAAAAACTCTAAATGTTATACCCCACTAGGGGGAGCACACACCCAAAACTGTAAAATTGCTCTCATCATTTGTTTTAGTAAAAAGTCAACAGCACCATGTGACCAGTATTAAACATGAAACACGAGTAAGTTGAATAGTTTTGTGGCATTACCTTCAGCTGTTGTAGATCTTTAAAAGCATGTGGGTGAATGGTTGTGATACTGTTATGCTGTAGATGTAGCTCTTTCAGATGGCTGCAGTTGTCCAGGTCAGAAAGACTGATCACAGAGATCTGGTTATAGGACAGCTGAAGAATCTGCAGGGATTTTATGCAACCCAGCCCTGGAGGAGAAATGTATATTCATAAGACCAAAAGGTACACACATTGCAATGATTAACCACACACACTGATAAACCTTCTAGTTAAATATCAATGTGTCCTTTCAGGCACTAAAGATTGTTGTGGGTGGTTTTCCTCATTAGATGCAGTCCGAGCTTTTGCACTTGTTTTGAGCCACCAAATACTGTTTCCCATGCATTAAATTAAAAGGGGAAAGGTAAAATGATGAAAGTGACTCTATTTTCATGGATGTCCCACACAAGTATGTCGCTGCCTAAATTTAGATCTCAGCTCTACCTGTTTCAGCCTGCCTTGACCTCATAAATCACAAACGCCTGTTTTTGCCTGTATCTGTGGCCATAACAACACCTAACGTACCTGCCCAGTTATGAAGCCCAATGTGTATCAACAATTGCACTAATCAGTGAGGCTTTTGCACTCTTGAACTGCTTTGTCGCCTTCAAGATATCGAAGTCAAGTTCATAGTAACAATATTCTAACAATCCTTGTCTTAATATTTATACCCAAGCTACTTCGAATCACTTTGTATTTATGAAACCAATACATCCTAAATGTTCCTGGATGCCAATAAGTAGGTTCAATCAGAGTCAAGAGCTTGAAAGGGTTCTTGTTTGCCAGAAAAGGGAGATGGGGAACTCCTTTGCGTATTTGAAAATACATGTTGACTGCTGAGCTGAAACCAGGATCTGCTGGACAGAGGTTTATCAGAAACTTTGAGGCAGTGCCATCTAATTCACATGGCTTACAGGCTGCCCAGACTGGGATCTGCAGAGATCGAACAGTTTAAGACCTGGTTCTTGACATTGGTTAACAGGTCCCTTTAGATTTCAAACAACAGAGGGCCACAGTTTTAAAGCCGACAGAAACAGTACAACCCAGCTAAAATTGTCTTAGTGATTATTAACACACACACAGCATTTAAAAAATGAGTAATTTCCTTAGCACTGGGTGTAAGTTTATTTTTTTTAATTCAAGAAAGGATGACTGCTCAACTTTTTGGTCCCAATTTTAATATCAACTGTCATTAAGGCCACTAATGCTGAATTTAGACTGCATGATTCTAGCCTGATTTTTGACTCGCCGACAAAAGTTTTGAGAAATTGCTGACAAATGCCTGAAATCAAAGGCAAATTGGTGCTTGTTCTACTGTACTATCAAAGACGCGATCTGAGAGAATCGCAGATGAGTCGCCAACACCTGTCAGATATTTGGCATGCTCCATATCTGGAACTGTCTGCGATTTAAAATCAAATCGCCTAAAATGTTTTCTTTTTAAAAATAACATTGGCGATTATCAACAGCCAATGAGAGAGCAGAATCCACTATCGGTATCTGCAGGCCAGTGGGAAGATGGGGGAAAAGTGCTTCTTTTTGATCTATTTGAACTGAAGAAATTAAGGAAAAACTAGTTTAAATTTGGCAGCAGCATCCGTGGCTGTTTGGTGTGTCATATGAGCAAAACCACAACTGGCTGAAAAAATTGAAGAGAAATTGCTAATTCCCCTCAAAACCTAGGTGAGCAAAATAAACACATTTTTTCTACCCCACTAAATGCTTCTTTCTCATTATGTAGTTAACAACAAAAGATACATGACATCACATGTTTTCATGTAACTTTTTGTGTGTGTTTGGTTGTGAAACTTCGTTTGTGGGCCAAGACAAAGTTGTCTGCCATTCTTATTGTAAATTCATCCAGTATGAAACCCCCTGTTGCCGATCCATCTTGCAGTGTAAACACAGCAGCAATGAAACGCCACCCCAGATATAGTCATACAGTTTGAAAACATCTGTGACACGACTATTTTGAAAATCATGCAGTCTGAACTCGGCATAAGAAATCTGATGATCCATGCTTTATTACAGTGTAAGATGAGTAACTATGATTGTTTAATGAAAAACAGCAACGTTAATGACTCTCAGTATCAATAATTGGATGTTGTTGTTTATCCATTCTGATGGATGATTAATATGAACAGAATTCTGGAACATAAAGAGATGAAAGCTTATTTATACACACAGTAGAAATGTTGCCTTGTGAAAGCAAATTGAGCAACATTTTAATCCCCCTTTTTAAATGAAGTAAATGATCTCCAGGTGTGAAAACACTCAACGTTGCAAATTAAATGGCCTGTGCTCCAAAACAAATATTTAACAAAGCTTTTTGGTGTTCCTATTAGAATCCAAAGTGACCAGAAGAAATGATTAAGATGTATTACTGGAAGGAACCAAATTACTGTACACTGTGAAAGATGCAGCTTTTCTTTCTTTTTTTTTTTTTTTATTTGTCATCTAGCATTGGTATCTGATATTTCCTATTCAAGGAAAGTTGCAACAGTTCAGTGCATTTTGGTTAAAGATATACCATAACTATTTGCTTGACTTGCTGTGAATGGGAGAAACTGCAACACAGAATATGGGGAAATAGGCTACACCCAGTGGCCCTTCCAGAAAATTTTCTCAGGGGTGGCCAGAAGAGGCCACATCAAATCTTGTGGTGGTACACAAAAGTGTTTCTGGTAAATAAAACAATGTGGTCTTTAATTATTTGTAATAATTAATTCATTTAAATAATTACTCTTGAAATATCAGTTTATTCCTAAAAAATTAATAAATTTAAATTCAATAAAATAAAATTATTAAATTATTAATTAATTATTAAAATTAAAAACACTTTTCATATATAAAAAAATAACTTTTCAGTTAATTTTCACATACTTCTTTTGTACAACATACATTATATGCCATGTCTAAAATGAATAAAGATTAATGAATCACTATGCTATACACACTCACTATACAGACTCTAATAATATCATTTATCCATATTTCTTTTTGAGCCACAATATTACTAATACAGCTTCTTCTTTTAATGTACGTTAAGGTAAATATTAAATTGCCATCAGTGGTGGAAAGAGTACTGAAAAATCATACTCAAGTAAAAGTACAATTTCTTGCCTAAAGATGTAGTGCAAGTATTTGTTTTAAATATTAGTCAAAGTATGAGTAAAAAGTAGACCTTTCAGAAGTACTCAAGAGTAGTGAGTATTATGCTCTGAAAAGCTTATGTGTTTACATGTAAATTGTGCATGGGTGTGTAAATGTAATATTCTGTAGTGCATCAAGTTATTGCTATGCAGACACGCAACGTCATAAGATGTTAATATTAGATATTAGGTTGTGATGTCAGGGGACCAAAATTCAAGGTCAAGCCAGCGTCTAAGGAAAACAATATTTTAATGTCCAATAATGACATCAAATGATGTTGATATTTGGTCGATTTTAGATTGTTAGAGAGAAAACAAAATTACAATGTCGAGCCAACATCTTAAACCAACATATTGACGTCAAATACTGACATTTATTCTTCTGGTATGGCAAACAAAATCCAACGTCTTATAAACATTATAGTGGTAACGCCCACACAGCATTAAGCTGTAACATCATAAGACGTTGATATTTGGATGGATGTTGGACATTAACATCTGACTGATGTTGAGTTCTGTCATCAACCTGGTTTCCAAAAAAAAAAGAAAAAAATGGCTTGAGGTAGTTAATTTAATGTGATTTACCTTCTGTGTGTGATTTGATTGGACAGGAATCACAGGACTGTTTTTTCAAATCCCCATAGACAAGAAAAATTAAAGTAGTGACTGCAGGTTGAAAGAAAACAGTGGAGTAAAAGTACAGATGCTGCTGTAAATATGAACTCAAGGGAAAGTTAAAGAACACTTTTTAAAACTACTTGGCAAATTACAATTCCTGAGAAAAACTACTCTATTACAGTAATTTGAGTATTTGAATGTCTTATTGATGTCTATTGAAGGTGTGTGCGTGCTGTCAACAGCGGTCAGGGAGGGGGAGGGGCAGTGAATCAGCTACATCAGTCTGGCCACTCATTGGAGGCGCCCCTAAATAAAAGCCAATGGCCAATTTTACCATTCTCTCCAACAAGTAGAATGGACTTGGTCTTGCATGCCTGAAACAGCTGCTTGTTGGCCACAGAATAAACATTCTGCTTGAGAGGGACTTTGATGAAGTAAACAAAACACTTTGTGGACAGCTTTGCTCATTGCTTGCACTGGGTTAGACAATCTGTCCCTTAGGTTTCCAATTAGGTAATGTAAGTATTTCTCAATACTCTGCGTTGTTCTATGGAGGGACGACACACCTATAGGCTTGCAAAAAAGAAAATAACCATCCTGCACTTAGAACCCCATGTTAGCATTTATTTGAAGGTTGGCCAAAATACAAGGCCACAATAAAATCCACCTTCTGGAATGTGTTTAGACCATTATTATCCTTTTATAGCCTGTCATGAGGCACAGGAATGCCAGCACTCAACCCTTGTAACTAGATCACAGGTGATTTCTCTTCACCTCATCCAGAAGGTGGATCATCTGACTGCTTTGAATGGAATTTAACAGGTTGAGAGAGTGTGTAATCGAAACAGATCAAAGTTCTGATGATGATTCAGTCATTTATCACAGGGCAGAGAGCATGTAGGTTTTATTAATTTTATAGATTGAAATGATGGATGGACTGATTAGTCTGTCCTTATCCTTATTTATCTATCTATCTATCTATCTATCTATCTATCTATCTATCTATCTATCTATCTATCTATCTATCTATCTATCTATCTATCTATCTATCTATCTATCTATCTATCTATCTATCTATCTATCTATCTATCTATCTACCTACCTACCTACTTACCTACCTACCTACCTACCTACATATTACCATTAAAAGAGAGTATAAAGGGAGTGACTTGGCATTTGAGATGGCACTCCTTAAAAACTATCAGGGTGGTGCTCTAAATCCTTAGCCAATACCAGGCAGGGCTGACTCTAACCAATCAAAACTTCTAGTTCAATCAGTAAGTGGGTTAAAGTCGGCATGAAACAGAAGTTAAGATTGTACTTTTTAAATTTTTGTAAATTTCTGAAATGAGAAAAAAAAAAAAAAAAACAGTAGGGCGGGACATGTTGACTTTTGGGAACCAATTGGATTAATGATTGGAAGATGGGTGTTGCTAACAAAATGGAGGAAGATTTAATAGTTTGCACTTTCCACCGGAATCTCCACTGGCACTCTCTGGTGCAGAATGTATGGACATGCCTGAATATAAATCATCCCCGATCATAAACAAGGAGCTGAAATTTACAAACAAATGTCAATGTTCACATTATTCAAATTTTTCGTATCGTATTGGTTCGAACAACTGCCTCCTACGAAGGCAGAGCAGAAACAAGACAGGCACTGATAAAAAAAAAAAATCACTGATGCCTCGTCTAAAGGCATTCCGTGTGACCAGAAGTGAAGAAAACTTGTTTCAAGGGGGAGGGAAGATTATGATATTTGTTGGAAGAATATGAGAGCAAAATGAATTTGTACAAAATAATGAAAAGCACAGAAACATTGTTTATAACAGACACTACTACATGCATGTAAAAACAAGAGTAAATTTTGCGACTCCCTGTAAAAAATCCCTGTAATTTAGGCTAAGTAGAAATCGCAGGTGTAATTGTGGGGTAGAGTTCTATAATGGGTTTAACTGTAACACAGAACATAGCAGAAATTGGCAAATTTTGGATGAATCATGAATTTCTTGATAAAATATTTTCAATCAAGTAACAATTTTTACGGTCATTGTTGGTGGAGTGTAACCACTCACTTTTCTTTCAGCATATTTCCATCTTTTATCAAGTTTCGCCACAGCATAATGCCAATTACTCTGCATGTGTCTTACAGCCGATGCCTTCCAGCTGCAATATTGAGTACAACCCTTTGTGCTGGAAAACACCCACAAATTCTCCCATTCATACACTTCAGCCAATGTAATTATTCAGTTAAACTGGCGACTAAATTATCCAATTTATTTTATTCAATTGACCTATACCACATGTCCTTGGACTGTGGGGGAAACTGGAGCACCTGGAGGAAACCCACGCAGACACAGTGAGAACATGGGGAGAAAGGCCTCCTGGTCCTCCTTGCTGTTTGGCAACAGAGCTAACCACTTAGCCACCATGTTGCCCGTAACCTTAACCATAATATTGCAGGACCCAAAGGGTCATTTAAATAAATACATTTTGAGAATATTAGTTTGATTCATGTCGTACTTTAATTTGTTTTCTCACAAAAATCTTTAAATGACTATTAACAGCTGAAATTTGATCTTTAGAAGTATCAGTTTTTGCCCCATTACTTTTGTATCAAGAGTGCCACCCCTGACTTACAAATGTAATAGAGCTGCCTTGACTTAACCACATAATTTCAAATGTTGTTCAGGACACAGAAAGGACCGCATTAATGATTAATGCACAATTTTGCCACACACATACCGTTTGGTAGACGTTTGAGATGGTTTCTTTCAGCAGACAGCAACTGAAGGTCAGGTGCCCAGGAGCTGCATTCCTGTTCTGCACTTGACAGGGTCCTAGTGCCTGGTCCTAAAATCAGAGACAGGCTCTCCAGACCATTACTGCCCACCCAGAGGTGTAAAAGTCCCTTCAGCTTCACATGACCAAAGCTGAGAGGAGCCAGAGAACTCAGAGCATTGTTGGATATGTTCAAGGAAACCGCACTTTCTGGGATCCATGAGGGAGCCTTATTCAGGCCCAAAGATGAGCAGTTTAGGACAGGACCGGGCTGGCAGAGACAGGGAATGGGACAGGCGGAGGAGGGGAAACAGCGTGTCCCCCAGAGCTGGAGGAGCAACACTGCCACACCAAACACCAAGCGGGACGCTGACATTATAGTCAGCCCTGAATAATTTAAGCACAACAAATGACAGATTTATATGTCAGAATATTTCTGTTGGACAATACAGAGCTGTTAGAATAAAACCTGAGAAATCACAGAATCAATTTTAAGTACAGTCTAAATTGGCAAACACTATTTTTTATTATCCTCAGCTTAAAGGAAATCTTTAAATATGTCGCAGATATACTGTATAGAAAAAACTAACCTTTTCATTAAACTAACCTTTTTGGGGTAGCAATGTGCCGCTCGTCTTCGGTGATCTTCTGAATGTTGCTCTGGATAATTACTAACAAAACACTGAGTCTGATGAACAAATTCTTTGACTTTAACTCCAACTTCCCTAAGATCAAAGTCTGAATAGCATTATGGCACCACAGACACAGAACACAATCACTCACCTGAGTTAATGTCTTACTCAGGTTTGCTCCCTCCCAGCATTTTGAGGAATTAAAAAAAATAATAATACATTATAAAAAAATTATATTAATAACATAAATTTTAAAAAATTAAAATAATGATGCAAAAATGTGAGGCTAAATAGGGTTTTATAGAAATATATTCACATGCTTATATATATTTGTAAATTTAATTGCCACAAGTTCAAAATTAATAAATGACAAGTCAATAATCTATTCACTCAGTTGCCACACATTATAAGTCACCATACTTTTTTTAAAGCAGCACAGGACATATACATGATGTCAGACAAAAAAGTAAAGAACTAAATAATTATGTACAGCTGAACATTTTTTTAAAAAAAAGAAAGTAAAAGCAAAAATAATATGAAACTGAGTATAAAGGCATGTGTTGAGAAAGATGGAAAAGAATTGAGATGAAAACCTACTTATTCATACATTTTATTGTATATTGTTGTTAGAACCATACATAAAATTGACAAATTTTCCATTTAAAAAAAGTTCCAACAATCACAACACACATTTCAGTTAAAACCTCCATTTAGATTTTTTAAACAAAAACGCACTGCAAATATGAATGCTCTGATTTACCACTTCATTCAATAATGTGTAACTTTCGTTCTGACAATATTGCCAAGATCTAAATACATGGATGATGAGACATCAACAGTTTCAGATCAACAGATTGAACGTCACATCTGATAATTAGTCTTTTAAGAGAAAACATTTTAGACAATGCAATAATACTGTTTTCAGAAACAAAAATAAATATCACACATGTGCCCAGATGAACCAGGCCAAGAAGCTTATATTGCACAAAATATCACACGCGAATAACTTAAAACATTATAGAAGTTTCCTGTTTTTATCTTATCAAAAGATATCAGACTTTTTTTTTTTATCGGTACACACCTCTGAACATGTCATTAGACAAGTAATTTTTTCATTAGTCTATAATAAAGATCTTAAAAAAGGTGATGGAACTGTTTCAGGATCAGGGTTTAATAAGGTTCAAACTTACACACTTAAAAAAATGAGATTTGCTATTTGTTCAAACTACTTAATTAAATTCAGCTGAAACAACACAAGTCTTCAGTTTTTTTGAAAGGACAACTTAATTGTGTTATGTTCAGTCCTCTTAAATTTGTAAAAACTAGTAAGTTAACTTTGTTCCTTCATGTTGTCCCAACACAAATCGACTGTGTGGAACCCAACTTTTTTTTTTAAAGCGTATGAGATCTGACTTCAAACCTGTTCTCTGCGCTGATCCTGCTTCAATAAAATTAGAGAAATCAAAAGCAAAAGGCTAACATCAAGGCCAAGTAAACATCTTTGATATAAAAACCAGCCCTGAAAAATGTTAATGACATCTGAGCTGTTTAATAACATGGCCACTTTAAATACCATTTTTTAAAGTCATATTTGCCATGTAGGACTATTTTTTAGACCAGTGTTTCTCAACCATGTTCCTGGAGGACCACCAATACTGCTTGTTTTGGATGTCTCCTTTTTCTGTGACACCCATTAGAGGTATTTCAGCCTCTGCTAATTAGCTGATGATCTAAATCAGGTGTGTTTGCTAAAAAAACATGAAAAATGTGCAGAGCTGCTGGTCCTCCAGGAACCTGTTTGAGAAACACTGTTTTAAACTATAGAAAAGTTCATACAAAAATCAAAGTTTGCTGTTTGTTTACTTACCCTCAGGCCATTCAAGATATAGGTGATATAGACTTTTCTTTAGTAAAACATTAAAGATTTATTTAGCTGAATCTGTTGTCATTGGGATACATAATGTAAAGTGCAGATCAACAGCCCCTTTCACACAGCAATACCGCTAAATTTAATTAAAATTAATTACTTTGCCGGTAAGTAAAAAAAACACTGTTCACACAGGCAAGGATGTTCCGGGTAAAAACAGTTCACACATCCATTCCAAAATACGAATAAATTCTGACATCATTAACCAGAAATGAGCTCTAAATGCGCTTGTATTTGTAAACATAGAAGGGGTCTAGTTTTTGTTGATGATTGATGATACATAATGTGTGTGTGCTGGCACTCACCGGCTGCTTCACGTGCACACACGTCAAGCAACTGAAGCAGAGTTTGAAAGTAAACAAACAGTGGTTTATCATCAGCATTTTATCAATCATTTTTACACAGTTAGGATTAAGAAGGAACAAAGAAACATTTTCTGACTAACATCTAGCAGCTAAATGTGTCTGTAAATATTCAAAGGCTTTTATTTTCGGAAAGAGAGCTTATGTGAATACGTCTGAATGTTCTGATTGGCTGGAGTCGACGTTTCACGTCAGTGTGTTCTAATCATGAATGTGCTCTTTCCGGCAATTTTTCTTCTGCATTCACACAGAGCAGCATTCCGGTACATTAGCGGTAATGTTACAACTCTTTCCAGAAAATTGCCAGAATGAATTTACCGGTATTTTCAAAAAGGACCTGTTCACACATGATCCCTTTCCGGTAAATTGCTGGTAATTTTCAAAAGTCTGTATGTATGACAGGGCCTAATAGCAACCAACACTTTGAGAAAAAAGATTGATTACCCATCTTGATGACACTTTGTAAAATCAAACAATAAGTGTGCAGAAAATGCTCACAATAAATCTTCCTTAATGTTATACTGAAAAGAAAAGTCACCTAAACATCTTGTCTTTGACTAAAACTATTTAGATTTAAAACTAGTCTATTCTCTCTTTTTATGTGCCCCTTTTTAACAACAGTAGGAGATTGTAAAAGACAGTATTGATATTGTTCCGATTATTAAACTGGACTCAATGATATGATATAAAAATATATAAAGCACATGCAGTGAAGGTTGAAAAAAAGGCAGTTTAAAGGCCGTAAAACACTGAGGTGAGCCAACGATAATGCATAGGGAGCTGTCGGCCATAAAGGAAAACGGTACTGTTTGTGCTGGAAGGGATTTATGGTTATAAGAGAGCGATTATTATCACAGAGGTATTTATGTGTAACTGTGAGTGAGTGAGTGTGTGTGTGTGTGTGTGTGTGTGTGTGTGTGTGTGTTCTTAGGCCTCTAATAAAACTGAGTGGGTGTGTAGAAGAAACTGTCCTGATGGGTGGGGCTGTGAAGGTGGATAGTGTGTGTTTTGTGTTGTGTTTGCACTGATATTATAAATAATGTCCTGTAAATCAACAACAACAATGACGACAACAAATTTGAATGTATCTTTTAGCAATTTACCCTATTCATCTTTCCGCGTGTATGTGTTTTCCAGTGGTATTCCTCTTTTTTGTTAATTAGTGCGCTGCCCCACACGGATTGTCAGATGTTTGGCAGCCCATGTTGGAGTATTTGACCTGAACTCTGAAAAGCGTCCCGTCTGCACACATGCAGAGTTTATACCTCTCCAGGCCATCATTGAAGTACAGATCTCCCCCGAGAGAGGAGTTTGGTATACGTGAAGGGCTGATCATCACCGAGCCGTTTAGAATAATGCTGTTTTCCTGCACACAAAACATACAAAATAATTATATACTCATGTTTCCATATGAAGAGTTCAAATGCAAAAACATCTAATGTGAGCATTTCTGTGTGTAAGTTGAGTAATTTAACTTTTATAGCAAAGAACAGACTTTTTAAAATTACAAAACAGTGAAGAACTGAGCATTTCTACCTTTAATTACCATATTGGTCAAAATGACGGCATGCATGTCTGCTACTTTTTGCTGTGACTTTAAATATGCATGCATTTTTGCCTAGCAGCTTTCTGCTAACATAAACAAAACTTTCTGATAGCAAAAACATAAATTTACTTTAGATATATATTTCAAAACAGTATATTCTGTGCCACGAAATAGCTCCTGTTTGAAAGTGAAAATGAAAGCTGGGCCCAGGCCTTTGCGTGTTCTAGTATCTCAACTACATATTTATAGGCTGTATTACCAAAAAAGATAATATTTTTAGGGTAATTGTATCATAAAATATGATGACAGACTTTCAAAGCTTGATTTTAATTTCTCAATAGAAGTTTTGAATGTAAATATGATGTCTTATATGAGAACGGTCAAAATGACCAGCATGGTTATTGCAATAGTTGCAGAATTCTAGTTTCACTGTTAATATAGCCTACTCTTGTAAATCCTGTAGTGTGAACTAGAGGTTTTTGCATCAAAACTCTTCACATACACCATCATTTAAAGGCTTGTGATTAAATCTATATTAGTGTTTCACCAAATCTGCATATTTCTGAAGGACGTGACTCTCAAAACTGGAGTAATGACAGTACTGCATATGCAATATAGGTCATAGATGAGACTTTTCAATTAGGTGTCGACATTTAAATGTTATGTTTACATTTTATTTTACAGTGATTTGTGTACATATAAAATATACTGAATGCAAGTAAAGTGGCTACTTTACTGGCCTACAGATGATAACATCTATAGGCAAATTTACATCTTGCATGCAAACACCAACAAACAAGTTGGCCGTTGTATTTAGAATGTTGTGAAAATAATTACTGTACTGTTTACACTGCCCCAACAAATTGCCATGCACAATAAATAAATAATAATCTATATAATCCTTCTTAGTGGTTAAAAGACATTAATAAAGCCTATCTGGTCCCTGGTAAAAGATTAAACGTAAGTTTGTTGGAAAAACACATCACACAACTAATCATTATTCACTGTAATATAAAAATGTAACAATATATACTTATAATATGTGTAGTAAAAGTAAATTGTATAATATTTGTATGTATTATATATTATTAATATAAATTATTACATATTATTATATTTTTATATTTGCTGGGAAAAAGCCAATTGTTTTATTTGAAAGTAATACCAGACCTTTATGAAATAGTGTACTTAGTGCATATGCACAAGTTTTTATTTGTGACATATAAGGACACCAATTTGTACAATGACATGGATATAACTTTTTAGGGACATTATCCAATGACCACATGTATCAAAAGGTTTATAAAATATACAGAAAGAGTTGAAATAAAACTGCACTAAGTTCTCTGTAAGGGCACACTCAGAAACAAATTATAATTTTCTACTACTCACCGCTTTCAGTTCAATACCCCCGCCCATGCTGAACTCCACAGTTTTGCCCATGATGTAAACTCCCTCGTTGCCACGAATAATGGCCTTACCATCTCCTTTGATAGTGAGGTCAGATGATGCATTGCTGGTTATCTGCAAAGGATGGCATTGAGTCATAACTCACCTGTGACTAATCAAAGCCTTAGATGATATCATATTTAGATATGTTCTCACACATAGCCACTAGTACAGTATACAGTGAGATCAACCACTATTACTTTTTCAATTGAACTCAGGCTTTATAAGATCACTGCTGCATCCCAATTCACATACTATTCATCCTAAACAGTATTTGAAAAAAGGTATTACTCCATCCCTGTCTTTATGCTCTGTAGAAATTTACCAGGATGGTCTATTTCCAGTAGGAATTGAAAATTCGGATCTATGCACAATCTAATTTCTAATTTTATTCATAACACATTACGCGTTGCATGTTTTAATGTCAGATATGGTACATATATGGCAGATACACAATAACAACAGTTACATGGAGAGGTTTAGACTTTTAATATTTTATGTCGTTTTAAACCTTTGAGTTTCTTTCTTTCTTCTCTTGAATACGAAAGAAGATCATTTGAAGAATGCTAAAAACCTGTAACCATCGACTTCCATAGTACAAAAAATATTATGGAAGTCAATTGGTGAATATATTCTTTAAGTAAGAAGTAAGATGAATCTGAAATAGGTTTTGAACAAGTAAATGGTGAATAAATGATGACAGAAATTAAATTTTGGGTGAATTATCCCTTTACGTTAATGACGAATGAGTATGCTTTAATCAGGATTTCTGTAGGTGCCACCAAGTTCAATTTTACTCTCTTTAAGATATTTTATGACCATTATGAATGAAATATTAGACGTATACAGGGCTAAATGCTAAGGATTTTTTTTTCGAATATCACAGTTGGAAAAGATTTTCACGTGCCAAATCAAAAAATGATTATAATTTAATACATTTAATAATACAATAACAATAATTTAATAATAAAAATATATAGGTCAGGTCAGTATCCTCAGCAGTAAATAAATCATCACCTAAGAATTATAAGGTTCTATCTGACATTTTTGTCCAAATTGAGTTATTGACATATTCTTATTAAATAATTTATTTACATTATAGAATTTTTTTAATAAGTTGTTTACATTTTAAGTTGTTTTAATTTTTATTCAGAAACAAATGTCACACACATACTGTTTGCCATATGAAATGCAAAACCTTTAAAGCTGCATATCTTAAAATCATTCAGAACCCAGATAAAACCTTGTAATTCCAAGGTGATGAAATGACGAAACTTTTAAGCAAATGTTACTGTAAGGAAAGTAATTTAATGCTATTTGTTAATAAAAAGTTCAGTTTTATTGAGATGGACAGTTGGTGATTGTATGGGTGTTAATGGCCAGATTGGGTAGCTATAAATGAACAAAGGAAAATTAAAAACCTACAACAAAATATTTCTGTTGATTTAAGACTTTTTAAGACCTCGCAGATGCCCTGTTCTATACTCTTCTGTTAGAAACTTAAAAGAAAGTGCTTTCTTAACAAAACAAAAGGTGTATGGTTTAGTATAACTAAGTAAATTGGGAATGCAGCATATGAGTAAGGACAATGAGTGTGAGCGCTCACTCTCTCAGTAGAAGCTTTCTTTACGTTGAGAACCTTGACCTCTTTGGGCAGGTGGAATTCATGGGTGTCAAAATCAGTGCTAAAGAAAGTATTCTGAGTGCGCGGGTCAGTGAAGGAAATGCCCAAATCGCTGACAATAGACGTCTTATCTTCCTCTACACTCAGCTTTGTGTTGCCCTGCCGGAATACCACCTGTAATTTACACAGACATCGCCTGGATCAATACACTTTCTCATACAATCATTCAAAGCAGATTTACAGATATACAGATCTGTTTAAATAGAAGTCAGACTGACTGGGTTATTGTTGCCTGTAATGACAAGGTCCTGGTCCTTCCTGCCGCCCACTGTGCTCTTGTGTAGAGGGTGGACTATACCCATATCAGCCTTCTGTTTGAAGCGCAGCAGTCCACTCTCATGAAACTCCATGCTTTCACAGCCGCCAGGACCTATCCGTATCACTGTCCATATCACCAGAGTTATCTATGAAAGGCAGATGGTGATAATGTGCAATCAAGGATTTTTATCAAAGTCTCTTATATTCATCAAAGCTGCATTTGAACATAAATACAGTAAAACTGTGAAATATTACAAAATATTATGACAATTTAAAGTAGCTATAGTCATTATATAATTACTATATTTTCTTTTGGTCACACTTTATTTTGATGGTTCGTTTGTTGAATTTAAGATACATTGCATCTACATGCCAACTAATTCTCATTAGATTATAGGTAGACTGTAAGGTTGGGGTTAGGATTAGTGTAAATTGACATGTACTTGCAAAGTTTCTTATAGTGAGTTAAATGTCTGTTGAAGGAGCAGTATCACCAGATATTAAGCAGACAGTCAACTAATACTCAAATGGACCATCAAAATAAAGTGTTACCTTTGTTTTAATAAATAATTCTTCCAAAATCATCCAAATATGGTGATTTTCTAATTACAACCACTACTAAAAAAGTTCAATACACTCTGATGAACATAAATTCGTTTATTGAATAGAAACTTATTTAAAGTAAAGGTCTAATGCTATTGCATGCATTCTTATTTTTTACACTTTTAAAGAGCTAAAGAAACTAAAGTATAAGCTAAAATTGTCCCAAACAACGAGTGTAAATGGGATGTAAAAATAAATGTGCCAAAATAGTAATAACATTTTTTTCTCAGTATAGACCTGTATGACATCACAAAGGGTAAAATTACTTATATGTACATTTCTCTAGGACGAGTGTGTGTACACATCGAACAAAGCGGCCAAAAACATTCTTCCTTCTTAAAGGTGCAGTATGTAAGTTTGACACCCAGTGGTTGAACTAGGTATTGCACTCTTGGATCACAACATATGCAAGCGCAGGTTGCCAGATTGACATGAGTGTACCTGAGAATATCGAGCCTAAAGACTGATTTGAATTGTTTTCTAAAAGCAACAGCATGCGATAGAAGAAATATTTTTTCATACTAAAAGGATTTTTTTTGTCCTAACCTACACCTGAAATTTTTATTTTAAAAACAGCTTATATTTCTCACAGGTGACAACAGGATGAACTATGATCATCTCAGGTACACCTCATGTGCTTTATTCAGTGTTAAATGCTAATAGTGTGAGTGTGAATGCCAATTTAGAGGACATTTTTTGCTATACTACAGTACATGGTTTCAGCTCAGATCTTGAAAATAAAATAGAACTGTGACTCAGTAAAAGCCAAATATATACAAATATCAACATTAAGACAAATATCAACATTAGACAAATATAAATCATTCAGCATGTACATATAATAATGTTAAAAAGGGGTTCATATGTATTATTAACATTAGTAAGTGCATGTTCTATACTTCTGAATGGCTGTATTTATTTATTTATTTGTCTGGTGCAAACAGCCAAATTGCTTATCATTGCAAAACTCATCACGTGGCATGTTGTTAGGACACAGGGTTATAATGTAACCTGCTCACCTAATGTTTACACTCGTAATATTTATATTATTTGCTAATTATTAACCTCATGTGGAACTCTGAATCTGTATCTTATTTCGGAGTCTGCTACTGTCCACCGGAGGTCGCATTTCGGTCGCGGACGCATACTTTGAGAGCCTTCATGACTGAATGAATCAAATACACAGTTTTCCAGCAAGGCAACTCGGGGTGCTGAAATATAATTGGCTAAACTAGCATTGGGCGGGTGAAAATAATTAAAACAAAGACAGGCGTTCCGGCAACGAAACATTTTCAAAGCAGAATATCTGACTTTAGCATTGTTTTTTAAATAAACAAGAATGTTCACTTGGCATGTTTCTTAAATATCTGCAAGCATATTACGGTATTTTTATGCTTTAAAAGAACTTTAAAAACTTACATACAACACCTTTAAAGCTTCCTATAACTGATCGGAGTAATGACCATATATAGACGTCCTGTTATTATTGCTGTTTACTTTCAAATTTTCAAACTAATTCAATGCAAAAAAAAAAAAACCTGCATCTCTAGGAGTTTGACTGTTTTAGTGAGAAGAAGAACAGGAACATTTGTTCTGTTCTGTTGTAAACATCTTTACTGTCACGTTTAATGCATATTAGCTAAAATGTTATATATCTTATTTAAATATCACAGACATAACAAACAAACAATGAACTTACAATGAGGTTAATGAGAGCAAGCAGAAAAAGCAGGATGATTATGCCAATGGCGAAGATGCCCTTGCGACCCCGCAGTCCTGTCTTGTGGAGTCTCTCCTCTTCAATTGGAACATATCCTGCCTTAAAATTACTGTTATGCTCTTTGTTAGCTGATCTACGCTCAATTGCCTTTTCCCTCATGGACTTCTTCATCGGCGCATTTGAGATTTCCTGTGGACATTTGGAAAAAGAAAATGTTTTACTTTACATTTAATGGACAATCCAAGGCTGCTAGAATGGTCTACTAATGAACGTCCCACCAATAAGAACACCTTTAACATAAAGCGAAACTCAGCTTATTTACGATTTTGTTTTCAAGTTTATGATTTGTCATCTTAGATGGATGGCCGAAGGGCAAAAAAACTAACATTGTGATACTTTTTTCCTGCAATACATATTGCGATATTGAGTACATTGAGTATTGACTGAATAGCTCTATTTAAAAAAAAAAACATTTTTAGACCGACTGTGATGATTTTGTAGCAGAGTGCATCTGCATAAAATACAATAAATCAATCACAAGTGTTGATAAATACAGTAAAGAAAAACACAAGTGAAATAAACAGTTTTCTAGGAGTCTAGCAATATTCAGGTACACAAATTGAATAATCAAATGTCAAATATAACACAATTATAATTACTCTTTTTTTTATAATTACAAACAGAATCATTTATTGTGCCTGAATGATTTACTGTACCTGGCTTGAAATGTTAACACAGTCACAAGCCCTAAAAACACTTGCAAATGACAAACATTTCAGTCACTACAATTTAATGAGTTTTTTCAACTGTGCATGGCTCCTGGTCAACTATAATTTTGGTTCGACATTGCAGATGCAAACATTGCAATATCGATGCTGAAACTATATGAAGAGTTTAGATGTAAAAACCTCTAAATGCCGTCTGAAATTTTCCTCTAAAATGAGCATTTTTATCAGGCTCTTGTGTGTATGTTCAGTGATGTCACTTTTATGGCAAAGAGTAAGTCCTTTTCCTGGTTTTTAAAGTGAGCTATGTTAACATAAACAAAGGAGGCTGAGATAAATGTTCGTTTTCGAGGGAAATTTCAGATGGCACTTTTTTTTGCAGGTTTTTGTATCTGAACTCTTCATATGTTGTGCAGCTCAATCTATCTATGAAGCAAAAACAAACCTTAAAAAAACTTTTCTGTTTTTGTTTTTTTGTGACTTTTCTGTTTAAAGAGCACAATCACAAACATATTTATAATTGGGTGCATAAATATTTAATGTATAATTATATCTAATTTTTTTAAAGTACAATATGCATAAGCGATTACATTCTACTCATCAGATGAAGATCATTGTAATAGTCTAATGAAAGTCTTCTTTAAAAAGACTTTACAATTTCATGTTATTACACTCTAATGCCTAAACTAGAAGCAGTGTTGCTGTCTCAGGAATGCAGTATACGAGTCCGTCAGTCTGCATGTATGCCTAAAAATAAATTACACGCACCCCTTTCCACTGTAATAAACAAAAGATATTTATGCAGAAAACTCATTTTATACCATTTATTCTACCACACTTATATATCAATAGCAAACGTGACGGTGAAGCAAATAAAACCCTACAATAATGAGTCAAATTTTCCATTAACGGACTGAACATACATCGCGCATTTGATGGTTATTCCGTAACATAAATCGCGACAAACATCACTTTAAAGACTGAAGGAATTACGCATGGCTAGTTTTAAAACTGAAATTCGCTTGAAAATGAGTGCAATGGTGAAAATATCAACAATTCACATTGAAAACAGACCTGCTCCGACGCCATGTTGACCCTCCCTCTTCAGACCAGACCACTGCACTGACAGCTTGACACAGCCTCAGGAGAAACCACCGTGAGACACCGTTATCTGAGCAAACATCACAAATGACAATACTTTCTTATAGATTATACATTCTTAGAATGTCTATACTGAAAAATGACATTACACAAATACAGTCTAGTGATGAATATGGGAATGAGTCATTTTTAAAGAAGCCCGAACAGATGGTTTGTTCCTCTGCCATGAAGAGCCAGTTGTGCCTCAGATTCAGAATAGACTCGCCGTATAAGGAAAGTACAAATCAAGACCTTTTTTTCTATGCATGTTCATTTTGAATAGAACTTACTTTTTCTATTATATACTTTTATGATATATTATTTTTAATTGTAGCCTGACACTGAGAAAAAATGCAACAGTAAAACAGTTACAATAATTGTAATTTACTGTAAATTTACTAAATTATTATTATTAATTATTAAGATAAAAAACAGACTGTTTGAGGGAAGTTAAAGACTTATTTTTGCTTACCCTGGATGACACATTAAAATTAAATTAACCACCTCTTATTATACACTATTATGCACTTTCTATTACACTTTTATTTCTATTTTCAAAAATCGTTTTTTATAGATTTGCAAAAAAATTGGGTTGTATTACAGAACGAAAATCAACTGTAAATAATTTTTGTATAGTTTTATAGCACATTTATAGAAAAAATAAACACTGTTTACTGTAAATGTGATGTCTGTTTCATTTCACAATGTCCCAACAAATAAAAAGAAACATTGAAATATATTGTTTTATCCAGTTGCCCACATCAAACCAGAAAGGATTAACCAAATTGCAATTAAGAAATAGATGTTAACAGTTTCAATTGCAGAATTGGCAAACATTACAATTCACATTAAATCTTTTTCTTAGAAACTCCTTTGCAGGATAAATATCATACATATTTTACATTTACATTTACATTTACATTTAGTCATTTAGCAGACGCTTTTATCCAAAGCGACTTACAAATGAGGACAAGGAAGCAATTTACACAACTATAAGAGCAACAATGAATAAGTACTAAAGGCAAGTTTCAGGTCTGTAAAGTCTAAGAAGGGAAGTGTTAGTAGTTTTTTTTTTTTTTTTTTTTTTTACAGTTAGTTAGTGTGATATTCAAAGAGGCAATTGCAGATTAGGAAGTGAAGTGGAGACTAAATAGTTGAGTTTTTAGTCGTTTCTTGAAAATAGCGAGTGACTCTGCTGTTCTGATGCAGTTAGGGAGTTCATTCCACCAACTGGGCAGATTGAGCGTGAGCGTTCGCGAAAGTGATTTTTTCCCTCTTTGGGATGGAACCACGAGGCGACGTTCATTCACAGAACGCAAGTTTCTGGAGGGCACATAGATCTGCAGAAGTGAGTGCAGATAAGAAGGTGCTAGGCCAGAAGTCACTTTGTAGGCAAACATCAGAGTTTTGAATTTGATGCGAGCAGCAACTGGCAGCCAGTGCAAACGGATAAGCAGCGGAGTGACATGTGCTCGTTTAGGTTCATTGAAGACAACTCGTGCTGCTGCATTCTGGAGCAGTTGAAGAGGCTTGATAGAGTTAGCTGGAAGCCCAGCTAGTAGAGAGTTGCAGTAATCCAGTTTGGAGAGAACAAGAGCTTGAACAAGGAGTTGAGCTGCATGTTCAGATAAGAAGGGTCGGATCTTTCTGATGTTATAGAGTGCAAATCTGCACGATCGAGCAGTTCTAGAAATGTGGTCAGAGAAGTTTAGTTGGTCATCAATCGTTACTCCAAGGCTTTTCACCATTTTGGATGCCGTAATGGTTGCCCCATCCATCTGGATTGAAAAGTTATGGTGTAGAGTCGGGTTGGCAGAAACTACATATTTTAATGTACTTCTTTATATTGTGGAGGAAGATGTTAAATATTTGCATATAATTTTCGTAACTACATTCTCATTTAAAGGTTGGAAAATATAATTGCTTTTAATAGGACCAGGATAACAATCCTGTTTTTATTGAAGTTGTAGCGTGTACCTCAAGAGAGCCAATAGAGTGAGCATGATTGCAGTTTAGGTAACGCCCACCGATTTCCCTATATGGCATCTGATTTTGAATTTTTAAATAATTTACAGAATTAAGGATTAAAGGTCCCATAGGTGGCTTGTCATGGCATGACAGTTGAATGGAAAATCAATTAAGGCATTACACCTGTCCGTCAAGAGAATGTAAATAAAGATCTGCGTGCACTTGACATCTGACACGCACTTAAGAGTGTGAGATTTCATCACTGAGAACTGAGCTTCACCTTCAGACAGAGACACTGAGTAACATAATAAGATCCAGTGATGAAGAACAACTCTTGGTTCAGGCTGTCCACATTGTCCTTCTACAGCTATATTTCCTTAAACCGAGAAGACTAGCAAACCGTTGCTACAACTAAAAGCGCGTCCATGGTTTCAGTGAAAGTCAAGGGAGTGAATGGTGGCTTTTACTAGCAGTATAAATACAACGCGCGCACCCGCGCCGCTGGATTTAGTGCACTGGGACGTCCTGTAGCAGGATTACAGCAGCAGATCCGCAACCATGGCTGACACTTTGAGAAGACTAGTGAACTCCTCTCCGTACAGTGTATTGCAGGACAAACTAGACGCTTGGTACAAAGACTATCATGTAAGTCATTAATAATTCAAGCTGCACTTAATCTGTTCAACCACTAGCATATAGCTGCTAGTTAACTAAACTTAATTTGACTAATTACTAAAATTCTGTTGACTATGTTTATGATAGCATGTGCATTTGCAGATTGTGTTTTTATGCGTATGAATTGTTTGAATTTTATGTAGTAGGCTAACGTTACGTGCTTTGTGCCTCGAGTTTTGCACAGCTCAACATGCACAACAACCTACAGATGTCAGACGGATAAACTATATTAGATTAGTTGTCAGGCTTTCTTAATTTATATGCGCAAGAACGTCTTGCTTTGTGCTTCTATTTAGCAATAGAGGAGCTGAGTTTGAACATTCGCTTTAGAGTTGCTTTTGTGGCTGGTTGAGTTTGGTTTCTATGGACGCTCGTTGTCAGGACACCGACCTCTTTTCCTTTGCACGTCTGATTGGATGAGAAGAGACGTGCGCGCTCCTGCCTGGCATGCGTTTTCTGAATGGACGTACTTATGACTGTCTTCTCTCTTCATGGGGACATGTACAACAGGCAGTGCGATATTCAGTTTAGTTTCTTTGGCAGTTTCTTAACGTTCAGTTTTTTTTGGCAGAACTACACAATACAATTTTCTTTAGACTTTTCGCTATAGTTAGACCTATTTCAACGTTCGTTTATCTTTTCTTTAATTTTCACTTTTTATTAGGTTATTAATACCCAATATCAAAACATAATGATCACAATAACAAATTTCAAACCTTAAATAAATATTGGACAAGTAATATTTACATCTCCTAACAGAAAAAATGTATGTTCACATAGAAATATTATCACTCCTGTATAACAACATCTATACATAATTTTTATTATTTTATTTATTCATTTATGTGATTTTCAGCTTAGTCACTTAAGGGGTCGCCACAGTGGAATGAACCACCAACTTATCCAGGATGACCTTCCAGTTGCAACACTGGGAAACACCCATGCACTCTTGCATTCACATACATACACTACGGGCAATTTAGCTTATTCAGTTCACACACCTCATGTCTTTGGACTGTGGGGGAAACCAGAGCACCCAACACGGGTAAAACATGCAACCTCCACACAGAAATCTAGTCTTGAACCAGCAACCTTCTTGCTGTGAGGCAACAGTGCTAACTAGTGCACCACCATGATGCCCATTTTTATTATTTATATTAGAAAAAGTTGTCCTAAGTAAAATTACTGACATTCAAAATGCAGCAAGCCACCTGTTAACAAAATAAACAAAATTACATTTACATGAAAAGCTTTATTCTAATAAAGTAATTCAACATATTTCTGACTTTATGATATTTGTCAGAGAAATAAAAACATTAATAGCTTGCATTTGATAAACCTTAATTTTTCAATTAAGTTGTTTAGTACTTGTTTGCATACCAAGCAAAGAATTGCAAAAAAAACTAGTGTTTTCATGCTGCCTGATCAGGAAGAACAATATCCAATTCAGCACATGTTTGCTGTTCAGAGCTATTTCCACAGCTACTATTTCACTCTCTTTTTAAGCCTGAAGTTACAAAAAAAAAATGCTATGTCTTATATATTTTCTTAAAACATGTCTTATGTCTTATTTTCTGACATTTGTTAATCATATTGTCTCACAGGTTTATTCGTGTGACCAGAACCTAAATAGGTGCTGTGAACTAGTCGAGCTTACCTCAAAAATACAGGGTCAATTGTTCACCATACTCAACCTTACAGCACAAGAGGGTAACAAATAGATCTGTCCTTCTCTTTACTCTCAGTATTCATGAACACTATTGTTTCATTTACCTCTGTTCAACATTAATGTTCTCAGTCCTCCTTCTTCTGCAGGTGGACATTATTCAGGAGTCGACACACTGAAATCTCGCCTTTTGCCATGGCTTGGCTCTTGCTTCACCATTGCAGCTTCAGCTGTCTCCTCAGATACCAGTCTCAGCCTCATTCAGGTCGGCTGGATTGGCGCTGTCTTTAGTGCTGACTTGACATGTTATTTTTTTCAGTAACAAACTTATGATTTCAGTTATACTGTTCTTATGTGTGTATATCTGTGCTGGTGCTTGTATGTTTTTGTATGTACTAATCAGGAATCTGTGGAGAAAGATCGGAAGATTCGTGAGCTGTCCTCAGTGCATGAGAGCAACTTGCAGAAAATTGAAGACCAGCTGTGCTCTACACGTATAGAGCTGGACTCAGTAAAACGGGAGTCAGTATTGATTAGCACCAAGTCTAAAGCAGATTAAAGTTGCAATGGAATGAAAATGCACCCTTCCAATACACATTATAGGTCTTATTTTATTTTTATCTATAAAAAACATTTTAATGAGAGAATAAAACTTTACAAATGCTTTCAGATCAAAATACACATAATTAAAAAAATATATATATATTTTAACCAATATATTAAGAGATGTAAACTTTTTAAATGGTATCATTATTATTTATTAAGTTATGTCTGTATCTAAAAGACATGAATCTTTCCAGAGATGTTCAATAGGATTTAGTTCTGGGCTCTGGCTGGGCCACTCAAGGACATTTACAGAGCTGTTGCGAAGTCACTCCATTGATATTTTGGCCATGTGCTTTGGATCATCGTCCTTCAGGATGTCTCTGTACATTGCTGCATTCATCTTTCCCTCTATTCTGACTAGTCTTCCAATTCCCGCTGCTGAAAAACATCCCCACAGCATGATGCTGCCACCACCATGCTTCACTGTAGGGATGTTATTAGCCTGGTGATGAGCAGTGCCTGGTTTGCTCCAAATGTAACACCTGGCATTCACTCCAAAGAGTTAAATAGTCTCGTCAGACCAACGAGTATTTTGTTTCTTATGGTCTGACAGTCCTTCAGATGCCTTTTGGGAAATTCCTGACGGAGAGTGGCTTCAGTCTGGTCACTCTACCATACAGACATGATTGGTGGATTGCTGCATAGATGGTTGTCCTTCTGTTAGGTTCTCCTCTCTCCACAGAAAAAGCCTGGAGCTCAGACAGTGACAGTGACCATCAGGTTATCGATCACCTCCTTGACTAAGGCCCTTCTCGTCCATCAGCTTAGATGGCCGGCCAGCTCTAGGAAGAGTCCTAGTGGTTTCAAACATCTTCCAATTACGGATGATGGAGGCCACTGTGCTCATTGGAACTTTCATGCAGCAGAAATTTTTCTGTAACCTTTCCCAGCATTGCGCCTCGAGACAATCCTGTCTTGGAGGTCTACAGACAATTCCTTTGTCTTCATGCTTGGTTTGTACTTTGACATGCACTGTCAACCCTGGGACCTTCTATAGACAGGTGTATGTCTTTTCAAATCATGTCCAATCATCTGAATTGACCACAGGTGAACTCCGGTTAAGCTGCTGAAACATTTCAAGAATGATCAGTGGAAACAGAATGTACCTGAGCTCAATTTAGACCCTCACAGCAAAGGCTGTAAATGCTCTTCTACATTAGATTTTTCAGGTTTTTATTTTTAATAAATTTGCTACAATTTAAAAAAAATATTTTTCACTATGTCATTATGGGCTATTGTGTGTAGAATGTTGAGGAAATAACGGAATTTAATCCATTTTGGAATGAAGCTGTAACAAAAAATGTGGAAAAAGTGAAGCTATAAATGCTTTCCATTCGCAATGCACATTCAAAATAGTTTAATGAATTAATTTACTTAATATATTAATGAATTCATTCTCAAAATACATGTTCTCTTATAAATATCACTCAGTGATATGTTCAAAGAAATGATCACATACAGAAGTCTAGCGAAAAAGCTTTGTAACAATGTGAGTGTTAGTTTGTATTTACGGAAATAATACATTTATTTTAATGCATAACTATGCTATTTTTACCTTATTTTTGTTCACAACAGTTGAATTCATTTTATACCAATAACCTAATACACATCACACTATTGTACAGAAATTTGATTTTTTCCTTTTTTCCACTTTAATCAAATTAGTAGGGAATAATTGATGATGGGCTGTTGAATTATTAGAAAAATAATGCACACCCAAGGTGGTGATGCAGCCACCACCACCATATCAAGTGGAGTGGCCTTTACACCTCATGTGTACATTATTTGCTAATAAACAATGTAAGGTCCATCAGCCAATTATCATAAAGCATTTAAATTATATATATATTTATAAATATTTTAAATTTTTGTAAAAATGTCATATTTCCTCAGGCTTGTTGACACCCATATTGAACTGGATTCAACAAAAAATAAGTCTGCAACCACCCTGTTGGCCACAGAGGATGAAATACTACATCTGAAGTCAGAGTGAGTCAGAGATGGTGAACTTTAGTCCAAATGTCTGTTACGTCTTTGTGTGTTTGCCTTTTAGACATTGGTATGAGCCGTAAGACTTGTGCACTAGATGTTTGAGAATTCAAAATTCCTTTATGTTCAATCATGATGATTCTTTGTGTCAGGTTGCGAGTTGCACAAGACCAGCTTGATCTGTATAAGAGAAAGCTAGATGTCCTGGATGATTATGAGAGGCAGGTGAGAATCCTGCGAGATGAGGTTTCCTTCCTCAATGCTGAGAAAACTGTTCTGCAGGACAGGTAAAGCTGACAGAAACATCTTATTGCTTATGGCAAAAGCAATTTTTGCAAGCCTATAACTTACTGCTTTATATAACTGACAGGTTAGCCAGGAGCCGTTCACCTAGTCCGCTTCTGCGCCGAAGTCGATCAGTTAGTCCTGTCCGGGGTGAATCTCCTACCCGTGCACAGCTCACCAGCTCCTCTCGACACGCTCGATTGGTCTCCCGTTTCTCAGACCTGTATGCCACTGAGAGGCTAGAGTCCCAGAGTCTCCTGCTCAAATACATTGATGACCTGGAAACAGTCCAGAGGATCCTGTTCATTGCTGCTGTGGTAAGAAGAGCTGTGATTATCAAGGTGTTAATATAATTTCCAGTCATTTTACAATTATAGTAAATTTTTTATTATTTTTGATACATTTTTGATTGTGAGTTTACAGACCACCTTAAAGGGGTCACATTCATATATTTAACACTCTATATATTAGCCATTTTATGTGTTTTACATTTTTTAGTGTTTTTACAGTTTTTTTTTCCAAAAAATATATTGTATTGTATTGTATTGTACTGTACTGTATTGTTGTGTATATATTGTATTTTATCATTTTTTTATTTTACATTATATTAAATTAAATTTTATTTTATTTTATTTGTTTTTGTACTGGCCAACAGGAATCTTTTCAGGCAGCTAAGCTGGCCTATCGGCAGTTTAAATCACGTGTGAGGAAGACACTTTCCTCTACTCACATTGGCCCTGAGAGTCTGGAGGATGCAGTGGTGGATTATATTGTGAGAAATCTGGACCTGTATGATGTTCAGACCAGCATTAATGTAAGTTCAAAATTGGCTGCACACACTGCATTTTTGTAAACAAGCCCATGCAGCCCTTACATTCACTGAAACGTTTTAAATTATTTTAGTATTATATTATATCTAAACGTTCTTGAATCACTTTTCATTTTTATATATTCATTTTTCATTTTAGTTAAAGTAAATAGTAACAATTATAGTTACAGTTTGTTTGTTTATTCCTATTAGGTTTAATTAGCTTTATTTTACATTTGGTTGTTTTAGGACTTTCACTTATTTGACCATGTCTTCATTTTATTTTACAGTTTTATTTCAAAATACTTATGCTGTTGTGTACACCTACGTTTTTTTTTTTTGTTTTTTTTTTTACTGTTGCCCATTTATTCATTTTCTTTTCGAGTTAGTCTCTTTATTAATCTGGGGTCGCCACAACGGAATGAACCGCCAACTTATCCAGCATATGTTTTACTCAGCGGATGCCCTTCCAGCTGCAACCCATCACTGGGAAACACCCATACACTCTCATTTACACACATACACTACGAATAATTTATCTTTCCCAATTGACATATCTTTGGAACTGTAGGGGGAAACCGGAGCACCCGGAGGAAACCCACGTCAACACAGGGAGAACATGCAAACTCCACACAGAAATGCCAAATGACCCAGCCGAGGCTTGAACCAGCGACCTTCTTACTGTGAGGCAACAGTGCTACCCACTGCGCCGCCTACTGTTGCCCAATAGCACTGAAATGTATTTGTTTTAATTCTGCCTGTTCAGGATGTGATTAACGCGATGAACGTAAACCCGCGCATCTCGTTCCCTCCGGAGGTGGACTTTGTTCTGATCAGCAGCTTTATTAGAGAAGCCTGTCGAATAGCTTTCGCCATGCAAACTTTGGACCCTCCCCTGGACCTGGCCTTCAGCTCAGATGGAGAACTCTACAGTGATGTTAAGTGAGTGGAGCTCAGAAATCAAACACAACTTCAAAGTCACAATGGCTTTCAGATGCATCTTTAAAAGTTGAATTCTCCTTAAATGTATAATAGTTCACCCAAAAATATCAGTTTACTCACCATTTACTCACTCTCAAGTGGTTCCAAACTCTTGAGAGTTTCTATTTACTTTCTTCTGTTGAACACAAAACAAGATATTTTGAAGGATGTTGCAAACATGTATCCATTGACATCCAAAGCAGGAAAAACAAATACCATGGAAGTCAATGGTTACAGGTTTCCAGCATTTTTCTAAATATCTCCTTTTGTTGTCATATGTTTGTGACAAGTTAAGAGTGAATAAATGATGACAAAATATTTATTTTTGCATGAACTATCACTTAAAGTAATACCAGATGCAAGTTCAGCCTAAAATAAAAATGGTTGGTATCACTTTATTCTGATGGTCCCTTTAATACATTTCCTTGATTTTATGTTACACTGCAACTACATGCCAACTAATTCTCATAAGACTATTAGTAGACATTCTCCTGATTATAAGAAACTTTGTAAGTACATCAATTTACTTCAACTAACCCTAACCTTTCTCTGAATACTCGAACAAGAATGAGTTGGCATTTAGTTGCAAAGTAACTTGTGTTCAACAATATGTGTTAAAGGGAACATCAAAACTAAACCTGATGCTTCAAAATTTTCATAAAGAGATCAAGTGAACGAAGAGGTTTAATCCAAGTAGTCTAAAGACAAACATTATTTCATGAGATAAACACTGGTTTAAGATAGACTTTATTTATATCAACACATTGATCAGTAAACACAAACAGAAGCTCAACTACACTTGCTTGACACCTCACCTCATTGGTTCTACTGTGTCAAGCAAGCATGTATGACCAAATCAGAACACTATAAACATTGCTAATTAATGTGGATAAAAGTCAAAATTTAATCTTTTCATCATATAAAACATCTGTGTCTCTTCACAAGACTTGGGTTAAAACCAGGGCTGCTCAACCCTGTTCCTGGAGATCTACCTTCCTGCAAAGCTCAGCTCCTACCCTGATCCAACACACCTGAACCAATTTAATAGGACCTGATCAGCACTTGATAATTACAGGCAGGTGTGTTTGAAATGGGTAGCAACTGAAATCTGCAGGAAGGTAGATCTCCAGGAACAGTGTTAAGCACACCTGGGATAAACCAATTCATAAGTCCTCATAATTAATTTTTTAAAATCTCTTTCTGAATTATTTGGATGAACGAGAAGAAAAGATAGTGAAAGTCAAATATGAAAGTGGGTAAAGAAATAAAGAAAGTGAGTCAATTATGATTTTGTTTTCATTTTTCTGATAACTAACATGCAGTCCACACTTTAAGATGACTCTTAACTTTTTACTTTTACCAGTGCTTCATTAGAAGAAAAAAAGCCAAGCTGAGATACACATAGAAGTGTAAAAGAGTGACACACCTCTTCCTCTTTATTTCAGGTACCGGCGCAGTTTTGACTCTGAGTTCACGGCTCCACTGGTGGCATTTCACGTGTGGCCTGCGCTGCTGGAGGGAGACACTGTCATACTGAAGGGAGAAGCGGTCACTAGGAGAGGAGCTCTGGTATGTGGAGATTCTTTAGAAGCCATCCGTCATAGCAGCATTCATACTAGTCATGACAGATTAGGAGTTAGTTGGAATTCTTTTTGTAGATCATTTTGTTGATGGATTTTAATGGGGTTCAAATATAATTGTTATAGAATTATATATTTTATCAGGTAAAATGTAATTATGTATGATTATATAAATAAACTGATACATTTTCAAATATAAATAGTACAACTAAAGAATTTAAAAATTATGTTTGAATGTTTTTTCTAGTGGAAAAGCCGGAGTCGTAGCTCCAGTCCTGTTCGCTCTCGCTCAGGAAGCCCCAGCCGCACATTTGTGAGTTTCTACTGAAAACCCAAGTCAAGTCCAGCCTTCAGAGTCAAAGCCTTAAAACTGAAAGACTGTCATAATTTTTCACCCTTATTTATGACTTTCTCTTCGAAACATACATTTGTTTATAGTAGGTTAAGCTGCTGTTTTTGATACAGTGAAAATGAATGGTGACTGTGGCTGTCGAGCAGAGTCAGAAATAAGGTTTATTGTAAATTGATTTTCATGGAAAATATTACAGGACAATTGAAACAGCTTTTACTAATTAGTGTTGTCTTTTATGCCAAATACTAAACAGGAACTATTGATGATTTGTCTCTTGATTAAATAATTGTGATTAATTGTATATTGCAACAACCAAGATATTTTCATATTCTGAGAATGTATTTTAGTCAGCAGACACACTCAACAAAACTGGTGATTCAGCAGTGACAAATTTACATGGCTCTGATTGGCTATTGCATTGATATGCGCAGTAGAAATGAGTGTGATTGATTGTAACAAGATTTAATGCATGTCCAGATCTAAACATAATAACATGTGCTTTTTACTCATTTTCAAATTTCACTTAAAGTGTGCATGGGCATTTGTGGGACATTTTGGTAGCATTTTGGCTACAATCTCCCATTATTTTCCAACCTTTCAAGCAAGATTTCCAGTGAATAATGATTTAAGTAAGTTTGTTCCTTACTCTTATATATTGTAGGTTTTTAATATGGCACATAAATTATCTGATCCCCTTTTTAATAGATTTTTTGGTGCCTTTTACAGCCTCAGGCTTCATACACTCTCATTATATGGAAATTTTCTTTATATTTGCTCTGGCATTGTGCTAAACATCATCTTTTTGTACTTCAGAAGAAAGTCAGTCAAGCATGTTTAAAATAAGGATGAGTAAAAAATGTCAGAGTTTGAACAGTTTCTCAAACATCAATAGTCCACATCTTATTGTAGCATTAAGAATTACGTTTTCTTAATATCTCTTTTGCACATGCTTCCTCATTGAAACTGACGGTTAGTACAATTTCTTTACACTTTTTTAAAATTATTCTGTGAGGCATTACAGTAAACGACTTCCGCCTGATTTGTGAAGGATTTTAAGCCTGTCTTTTATTCTGTCTGTCAGATGGCCAGTCATAGTCGGAGCCCCTCTCCTGGACGTCTCTCAAGCAGTCGACTTTGAAACCTGACCTCACTTCACACCAGATGCAGGACCAAACAAAAGCAGATTGATCAAAACATTTCTCTTTTTTTCAACTTGAACGTTTTTTTAAATGTGTGGGATGAATTAGAAACAAAAGCAGTTACATTTAAAAGTAACTTCTGAATAGACATTATTAAAGTTTTAAACAGTAAGCACTATTTACAAGTGTAAAAAACACCTGAGTGAACTACACTTAATAGGGGCCATTGGACTGGATAGGTAAACCTTAATTGTATCAGATCATAGATATATACACATGTACACTGTATATCTATGGTATCAGATCAGCATAATGGCTCAAAGTTAAGAGAACAGCTCTCTTAACGTTGACATTTTACTCAGTTATTAACATCAATCACAATTACTTCACAGTTCAAATGTTTGAGGCCTGTGATATATAATATTGAATAACTTTTTTTATTTCAACACTAATATAGTGAGCAGACATTTTTTCAAATAAATAAAATGTACTGACACCAAACATTTGAACAGTGTATGTGATTGGGAGAAATGGTGCTTGATAAAAGGTGCTCTGTTTGTCTATGATAACTGGACAAGTCTTTTAAGGTGCTATTCTTTCTCTTTATTGTATGCAGTGTTTTCATATATTTGTATGATTTGGATTTTTACTTTTAGAGTAGGAATAACACTCAAAGAGGAAATCACTTGTCTTCTAGGTCACACCTGCACATCAGCACTTTTGTAGGTCAGATTCCTTGTAAGAAACTAGTTGGCTCTTTTCTAATGATATCTGCAGTTCTGTCATAACTCAATATATAAGTGCTGTATGTCAAGTGTTTCTCCTTGTAGTCTTTTATGTAGTACATAATCTGTAGAGATTAAAATAATCTACAGACTACCGAATGTATTTCCATTTTATTTACAATGTAATCTTTTTTTCAAAACTTTACCACTAAAAATGGTCTGTCTATCAAACTCCAGTGGTTTAATTGTTGTTCAAAATCTCAGATGTAATACCATTTTAAGGTGCTTAGTGTTAATTACATAATCTACATGAGTTCTGTATGATGAAAAGTACTTTTCTGTAATCTCCAGAATGCAAATTACAAGGGGTTTTGGGGGGGCTGACCCTCCTATTTAACGCTTATTCATCCCAAAGAACATCAAAACAAAATGTATGGGGGGGTCAACCCTTTAATAGTAAGAAGTAGCTTTCTCTGGTCTGTATCTTTAATATGAATCATTAAAAATAGATATTATAAGTATACATTTGACAACCCCTTTAACGGTTAATACCACTGACTATACAACTGGCAGATGTAGAGCACCAATAGACAACATAAAAGTTCGCAAGACTATTTTCTCATAAAATAGGTGTTTGTTTTTACATATAGCTTAAAAGTAAAGTCAAATTAGAGTTTGTACAGTTTGACCTACAGTAATCTCTAAAATAGCTAATCAGAGGATACTGTAGGTCAGAATACATTAAATATCCCCAAAACACTGAAAACTTAAATACATTTTATTAATAAATTAGATTTAATTTAAATTACTCAAACTAACAATACCGAAACGTTGACTCCCCAATCGTCAATGTAATATTCGCACCCTGGTAATCTGAAATACAGAGATATGTGTAAATAAATCAGCAAGACATACCTAAAATGTATGGTTTTCATTTATTTAAGAGTAAATATAATTAATAGAACAAGAAAAGGCAGTTCATTCCGCTGTGGCTACCCCTGATTAATAAAGGGACTAAGCCGAAAAGAAAATGAATGAATGAAGATAATGAATGAAAAAAATATTTCTACTTCAGTTTTCACTAATTGTATAATCCAATTTTCCCTAAGTAAAAATGAAATATAAAGGGCTAAAAATGAAGGAATAAAATAAATTATATAAAATAAAACAAAAATATACCACAAAAGGGCAACATTATTTTGCCTGAACACATTTCCGCTTGTCATCACTAGATGTCACTCCAATCCTTCAAAACAGGGGTGCTCAATCCTGTTCCTGGGGATCTACCTTCCTGCAGATTTCAGTTGCTACCCATATCAAAAACACCTGAACCAATTAATTAGGACCTGAACACCACTTGATAATTACAGGCAGGTGTGTTTGATATGGGTAGCAACTGAAATCTGCAGGAAGGTGGCTCTCCAGGAACAGGATTGAGCACCCCTGCTTCAAAACAAATAACGAAATACATCATTATTCTCTAGTCAGGCAAACTGGACGCATATTTCTCCACACGTTTTACAAGTAAACTAATATTATTTAGTATGCCTATTATTTTCACTCATTATGCACCTCAGTACTGAAATCTGCCCTCAAAACTACTTCAGTTCATTCTAAAAGTGCTGAAAACATTTCTCAGCGGTTGTGGTGTTGTGTCAAGTTGAATTGACCCTTTACCCTTAGTTTTGTGTTCCCTTTGTGGGCGCAACGCAGTTTCGCTGTTTTCGATAATAATCATCATTTTCGAGCTTGGCCCCGTGATCTGTACGCTAGCAGGAACCCAAAACTGAGGCGAAACAGGGAAACAGAATTCCATATTATATTGACAGTAGGCCTGTCACTCAGTTGTGGTTTGTCATCCTATATATCCATTGTGTAAACTTCTATTGGATTGAAAGCTGGCGAGTCGACTGTGAAGGCTGTCGAGTTAATGAACTCCTTGTCACGTTGACGAACTAGCTTGAGTAATTAAGCTTTGTGAGATGAGTGTGAAGTTCATGAATTCTAGTGGTATTTTGAGCTACTATTGTCTCACTGGATGTTTTCTTTAGAGATGAAAACAGTACGAGTCATCCCACGTTCAAAGTCATTAAAGGAGAGATACCATTGGAGAAAAGGGGATGTACACCCTAAAAATTAACATTAATTCACCCTGATCTTGTTCCAAACTTCACTGAGTTTCTTTATATTCATTCTTTCAGGCTTAGTCCCTTTATTAATCATGGGTCACCACAGCGGAATGAACCGCCAACTTATCCAGCATATGTAAAGAAAGCTAAAACCCGGTAACCAGTTGACTCAATATAGGAAAAACAAATAGTGAAATTAATGCTTTTCTTACTTAGTTTTTTTCGTATTGTTTATAGTTTAAATATCTTAATATTGTTAAGATCAAGATCAAAATCAAGAATAATTTTCTACACAAGCAAACATTGTTCTGTTTTAAGAAACAGACTATATCAAAATGAGTTTTTCCTTATAACCAGCAAAATAATCTGCCAATGGTAAATAATCTAATCTTCCAGAATTCTTCTTTTTTTTGTTTAACAGAAGTTGAGTAATTGCTTACACATACACACACACACACACACACACAACACAACACAACACAACACAAAGTTCGACATGCTTCTTAAAGACACATCCGCTTGCTGACTGCAAATAAAAGCATCATTATGTCGCATAAGGACTGGAAAATCTCACACTGTTATGAAGGGCGAAGCAGGACGGGAGAATGAAGAGCAGTGTAATTGCAGAATGACTGCAAGGGCAAATTATAAAGCAAGGACCGTTGAATATAGACAGGCACAGGATGAAGTCATACCCAGGAGCTACTTATCATTTTTCCTGAAATAAACAGATGGTTTATTTTGCAGCATGTCCTAGAATTACCCTGAGCAGGATTTATTCTGAGCACAGTTGCTGCCTGACCTGAACAGTCCTCCGTCAGAGATCTGAAAGCTTCAGCTGACTGAGATTACTGTAAACATAACATGCATAAAGAGTAGTAGCCTATAAAATATTTAATTCAGGTTCGTATTGGTTTGGACAAACACAGAATAATTTTAAATACAAAAATAGCATGCAACAACTGCAGGAAAAGGAAAGGTCAGTGCACCCTTTAAATTTCTGTATTAACTTATTTTAAAAAATAACACTGGCAATGCAAGCTTGTTTCTTTTACACAATAAACCAATTAAAAGGTATTTTTGCACAAAAAAGTTTTTTTTTAATTTCATTACATTTTTTTAAATGATATGTAAAGGTATTTTTGAATTTTGTAAAAAATGGACTTTAAGTGGGGTTTCTGCAAGTTAAATTTATGCCTTTTTAAAGACAAATGTTAAGACATTTTGAAGACCATTATGAATGAAATTTTAGACTCATACAGGGCTAAACGCTATTTTCACGATGGAAAAGATTTTTATTTGCCCTGTCAGTATATATACTATATATATTTACAATGTATACTGAAAAACTGGACTTGTCTTTAAACTAGCAATTATGAGAAAATGTTGCAGGAGAAAAGACAGAATTCTGAGGAAAGGTCGGGTTTGTGAGATCTCAGAATTGACAGTGTGGGTCAATATTCAGAATTTACATGATTCAGATTTTTATTTTTTGTTTTTTAAAACTTTAAGTTAAAAACCTGCAAAAAATAAACCAGAAATGTGTATATGAAATCACTTGATTAAACTATTTTTCTTTAGTGCACTATTCAAACTTATCAGAAATGCAAGATGTAAACACAGAATGAAAATACTTTTGTCATCTAATAATTGAGAGAAATAGTTAAATTGCAATAAAAAATTTAATACACATAACTTCAGGTTTATATCTCACAATGTGTTTTTTTTATCGAAGCCTGGATACTGCACGAAATCATCAGGATTTTGAGTGAAACAATTCATTGGTTAGTGTAGTGTAGAATATATATATATATAATATACATTCTATATATATAATATATAATATATATATATATATATATATATATATATATATATATATATATATATATATATATATATATATATATATATATATATATATATATATATATATATTAACTTAAATGGTTTGTAGCAATCGGTTTCCTCAAACATTTTGAGTTGCCTTAACTTACTGGGTTTTACAGTCCTCAGTTGGTTTGAACTCTAATTATTTATCGAGTTTTACTGTGGTCAAAATGTTTCGTTTACTCAAATGGAGTAAGTTCACAGTATTCATTAGGATTAGCTTTTGAACTTAAATGAATTTTTGCAATCGGTTTCTTTAAATGGTTTGAGTTACCTTAACCTTTTGGCTTTTACAATGTTTAAATAAAGCTTTGTAAAAAAACAGGAGTAAGTGAACATTGAGCCACTAGGTGGTGATCTTGCTTTAAGATTCAGAAACCCATCAGATCAACTTATGAATTTTACAGAATGAGTCTAAAATAATGATAGTCATAATATTTTTAAGACTAATAACAGGACGTGTGCGCTTTAACAAAAATAACAAGTGTGTAGAGGAAATGAACGTTTAAGGCTTTTCCTTAAGTCAAGTTCAAGGCCAATCAAGTCAGTTACTGATGAACGTGTTCAAGGATGTGTAATTGAATTAAAATCACATCCTCAAACAGATGAAATAGCATAAATATTCAGAACAATATTATAATAATCTAACTCTACAACATTCTATTGCACACTAATAGATCTGATTGCAGTGCTGCGTCTCAAAGTGCTGGACAGTTTTCATTGCCTGTTTGACTGAGTTCATTAAGTTATAGAAAGAAGACAGCAAGAGTGTGGAATTATTGTTCACAACTGCTAATTAACACCAGGAAATTGCCACATGCATATGAGCAGAACTGTTCGGTCAACCTTATTAACAAAGCTTGGCAACATGCCTTGGGTGTTTGCCTGGAGAAAGACTGAGAGAAAGTGAGTGTCAAGAAGATGGATGCAGTAATGCTTCTGGGTGAGTAAGAGGGCACAGAACATGTGTTTACTGCAGAAATAAGAGTCAAGAGTTCATCTTCTGCTAATAAACATCATCGGTATTACCAGTCAGACCTCAATAAAATCTCTTTTCAGATTTAAATGATTTCATGCATCATGCAGGGTATGTTTATTTGCTCACATTCTTTAGCAGTGTAGAACACAAACATAAGAATGAGCTGCTGCATTAAACAGTTACATTGAATTGAATCACATTTACACATTTTTTTAACCTTTTATTACAATGATCTGACTTAGAAAAATGTTTTTGAAAATGGATGAATAGAATATTATATACTTCATAATAATGGTCCTTTTATGTATTTTCTGACATCATTTATTTATTACTTACAGAATTTATTCATCTTTGTAAAAGTTGTTGAATGAAAATAAAGCAATTTGTTGTTAGTTCTTGTTAACAACAATGTTAATTGTAACAACACATTAGTAAATACTGAATAATGAATAATTAAAGCTGTATAAGTATTGTTCATTTTTAGTTCATGTCAGCAAACACATTAACTAATGCAATCCTGTGAAGTGTGACTTTAAATCATCTTATTTTAATAAAAAACTTCATTTGAATAATTGTTCATATCATTCATTAACATCTGTCTTATTGATTGATTTTAGTTATGTCTGCCGGGTGTTTACAGGCCCATCAGTCTTACACATTCATTACACCTTAAAAAATATCTTATGCTGCAAAAACAATTTCATCCTTATTAACTAGGATTTCGCATTGTAACACCAGCAGAGATTGATTTTACATTATATTGTATAACTTGGCAGCTTTGAGCGGTGCTCTGGATTGTCCATTTGGCTTAATACTTTAGCCTACAAGAAGTTTGGAAATATATAAATATAACAAGCCAAAGAGATGTAGAGAAGTGTGGCCATTAGATGCTCCAAACCACAGTTTGTTCTGGAACAGTTTTAAGATTTCAAACATTTCTTCATGTTACATGTCACAACCCAGTGTCTGGTAAGATAAACACACTGTAAAAGGCTGTAAAATGTACAGTATAATCTGCAACTTTGAGTGCCAGTAATGCTGCAAAATTTACAAGTGCACTATAAGTGAACAATTGTAACTGTGGTTTTCCAGCACAGTTGTAATTATTAATTTACAGTGCGCTTTTAAATCTTACAGTATTACTGGCAATTTTTACAGTATGACTGACAAAATTTACTAACACACTGTAGCAATAGATAGGTGAGGAAGAACTGTCTAAACTGATAAATTCCTCCAAATCAACAACGTCTATAGTTAGATCCTATACCGACCAAATTTTTAAAACAATTGTTTTCAGAAGTTTCTAAACCTGTTCTTAACGTTTTGAATTCATCCCTACTTTCAGGATATTTTCCTAAAACCTTTAAACTACCTGTCATTAAGAATCTTATAAAAAAAACAGCTTGATCCCAGAGAATTGGTAAATTATAGACCCATTTCAAACCTGTCATTTTTATCATAGATATCGGAAAAAGTCTTTGAAATCTGCTCAACTAAATGAGCAAATACTGTCTAATTACTTTACAGCACAATTGTAATTGTTCATTTACAGTGCACTTGTAAATTTTACAGTATTACTGCCAACTAAAATTGCCAGTAATAATGTAAATTTTACAGCAATTTTTACAATGTTGGTGATACATTCTAAAAAAAGTTTATGTAGTAGATAGGTAAAATGTGGATAAATCAGGTGATCACACCCATAAGCCAGCATGAAATTGTCCATTATATGGCAGGTAGCAAAGAATTCTGGCCCAGATTTGGCATAAAGCTGCCACAAGAGGCATTCATGCGGCTCTGGCATACAGCATGTAGGCCAAACATGGCCCAGGTTTAGCAGTGGTGGCACCATCTTTAAGGTGGCATGCAAGACATGGGCCAAATGTCAAATGTAGTATTTGGCCCAAATGTTAAAAATTTATTTGTGGATCATGCAAGTTTGGCCTATCTTGACCCATTTTAAAAACATATTTTAATTATTTTTTAGGAAATAAATATTTTGATGTCATTTCCATCTTACTGTTTCTTCTAATGCCTTCATTTTAATCCAGGATTTATTAGTCTATTGTTTCCTGTATGTTGCAAAATAACTCAATTTAACCTATATTACATATATTTGAACCAAATTATTATTTTACAAATTATATTATTAACCATTGCTAACCATTACCATTATTAACTAAAATGCAATGCTTCATGGGTTTTTCAATTTCATTACAGTCGTCACACACCAAATATGGCTTCCAGACAATGACCAAACATGGGCCATAGCTGGCGGGAATTAATTTAATTAATTTAGCTTAACTGCGACATGGTCATCTTGCGGAAATATTACCAACAATCAATTAGGTAATGTTTTGCCCTCTCTCTCTCTCTCTCTCTGTTGGTAAAGCGTTGTCAACAAATAGTTTTCCTCCATATTCCATAATGCACAGCGCATCAGCCTACGGCAGCTGGATTAGTCCAAGAGGTGCAGTACTTTTTGCGGTTGGACCTCTTCAAGCAGGTCTCAGTATGCTTATTTGGTCCGCTTTTGGTGCGTACTTGAGTACGATTGCTGCATTCTCACCTGCCCAAACGAACCACACCAAAAGGGGAAACGAACTCCAGTGCGATTCAATCAAACTAAATAAGGCAGGTGTGAAAGCACCCTAAGACTAGGAGTAGATATAGTCCATGATTGGCCCTTATATGTAAGCCAGACTTGGTCCCGTCATGTACCGTAATTCACTGAGGCATGTGGGCCAGGCAAAAGCTGATTGTGTGGGCCAGATCTGGGCCAAAGAAATTTTGCTATGGTGGATCTTATCTATGTGTGTTCCTGCCATTTCCCTGGGGCCCACAGATATTTGGATGCATATTTGGGATTTACATGATGAAAACAGCAGCTCAAAGTATTACTCCAACATAGAGTTGGAGCGAGGTACTTTGACAGGAGTTGGATGGAAAAGCCTAGTGTGTTCAGGTCTAGATGGTCTTTTTGGTATCTAGCAGTATGTTTTTCCAGTTGTGCTGTGGTTTGAGAGGCAGGAGACTGAAACACAGAGACCTCCTGCTTGTTCGGAGGTGAGCTCTGCAGGGGCCTGTAACTCACTCTCCCTTCCCCAAACTGTGCTCAAGGAGGAGGGTAAAGCATAGCAGTGTGTTTAGAGATGTCCTCCTACTACCCTGCACTTATCAGTTCAAGCAGACATCCATCTACAGATCTCTTTTTATCCATGCTGTCCACCAAAGCCCTTCCTTAGAAATGAAAGCACTGGCCTTTAATCAAATGCGCAAAAACTAGCGGTTCTGTGATTCCAATACATTTTTAAATTAATCAGGCAATAGATTTTATATTGGCGAATGTTCAAAACACATCTGAAAAAAAGCCCATAGAGATGACAGTGAATCTGAAAATACTTGCTTAAATGACATTCATACATTAACTAAAGTAAAGTAAAGTAAAGAACATTAACTTGTACTATAAAACTATATTAGCTGGCTAGCAAGTTAAGTTGGTTTGCAACAATCCCGGTTTTTAGTTACCTTGAAGATAGCTCATCTTTACAGTAATCACTCTTTGTCACCGTTGTATCTTACGCAACATGGCCAACCTGCTCCATAAGAGATAGATCTAGCAGCAGACTTGCAGACTTACACACGTTTTAGCACACACAACCCAGGACACATGATTTATGCAGGGGCAAACCATATATGAGTAATGACGGTTCAGGAGCATTATCGCCACCTACTGTATTCGATAAATATGGCAATCAAAACCGTCTGTAATTAGTTTAAAGTTTCCCATTTCATTCATCAAGGCAATGCAGTGGCGCAGTAGGTA